CATACACACCATTAAACGCTGCTCACTTGTCTAGTAGAGTAATATCTGGCTGCCACTACAGCTGGTCCATGCAGCACTGTCTTCTCTGAAGCCAGACACATGCGTAGGGAATAATATCGGGACAGCACACCTGAAAAAGCCTGTGAATGATTTTGAGTATAGAGAACACCCTAGCCAAAATAAGCAGCAGCCTTCTAGGCAACAATTATCCATGAAGGTAGCTACTCACAGCAGAGCACGCGGTGGGAAAGGACGCTTGACAAGGAACGCGTGGAATACTATCCACGAGGACTCGCGCTGTGCACTAAGCAGAGCCGTGAATTCTCTCATAGGCAACGAAGAACGTAATTGCTTCTCTGTCAAGCACTGAGTTTCGCGCTTTCTTCCTAGTTCACTAGAAACTATAGTCTAATCTCCTCGGCGATCGCTAGTCCTTTTATTCAGTACTTCTACGGCTCCCTATGGATCTTCCGCCTTCACACTGGTTGCATTCCTGCTCGGCAAAGTCTACATACAACTCGCGAAGCTTTGAAGCTCCATTAGGAAGCCAATGTTTACTTACTCCAACTCTTAAAGAATTTGACACAATAAGTAAGATCATCAATTAGCGAGCGGACGGCAAATGGTGGTAGCCACCTGGCTGTACACTTCGTCGTCTGGCCACGTAGTGCACCTCGTAAATCCTACCAAGCGCCCAAAGCTAAGTCTTTGGATCCGATATCCACAGCCGACCGCAGCTTCTCATAATTTCGTGCTATTGCACTTCTTGCACACATTGAAGTGCAGTAGGCAGCGGTCCTCCGCATCTTTCCGCCATTGATGGTGGCTGTTGATCTCGGGTCACCAGGTCTACTCCTAAAGCGGACAGGGGCTCCTCATTGTAGACCCAGAAAGCGGGAGCGTAGAGGGTAGGCGAGTCTGCTGTACTACAAACCGACAAGGAAAAACCCAAACTCAGCAACTTAATTTCATGTTCATAGAGTCGCAGTCACTGCAGTGCTTTGGGGTCGGTGCGACGTGTCTGTCCATCAGGCTAAGGGTGGGGTATAGTGGCCATTTTGTTACAAAGGTGTAGACGGATCTTGAAAGCACGCCATAACGCTTGATGATTTCCGGATTTTCTATTTGTAAGGATACTTCTGGCGAATTCTCGGGGCTCTTAGAATTGCATTGAGAAAACTTTAGAGACTTCGTGAGCCATGACACAACTGAAACACGGGATGGAACAGACATATTTGCTGAGTCTGGCCTTTGCTGTTGGACTGCACGAAGCCAAGGCTCAGGACAGCGTCTTCGTTGTTATCGATATAGTCAGATTAATTCAAACGTCACACAATTCGAAAGGGTGTACAAAAGGCTTGGTTTAGGAGAAATACGCGCCTTCAGCACCTGAAAATTTGTGTATGACACGCACACTCCTCTTCACGGGAACCACCTCCCAGGCCACCAGTAAAGTAAGATCGTAAGCACTTTCGAAGATCTTGTGAACCTCAACATGATTTGAAAGAAGTCGATTATGTGTTTTGCGCAAAATGGCACTGCAGAGAGAAGTCGAAATGCGCAAGCAAGTAAGTTCACGCTTTGATTTGAACGAGAGTAGGACATTCTCAAAGTCTCAGTGCTTTACCCTTTTGGCATTCTGGTTTTGACAGTAGCAGCTGATGCATGGGTGTCAAGAGCATCATACTCATGCAAATATGATAGAAAGCGTGAATCATCACATGCAACAGCAGCTGTCATGGACATTGGTGAATTTCTGGGGGTATCATGACAGCTCGCCGCCGACTGCCTTGTTGGTGCCCTTCTATATACTGCGCTGTAAAGTCGTATGGTGGAAGGTTCCAAGCCAGCGAGCAGGTATAGGATTATCAAAGTCCTAAAACATCGTCGGAAGGTACAACAAAAACTGGTCGTCGATCTGTTCGGTAGAACGTCGATTAGGCAAACAAATCCCGAGGTTTTCCTTCCCCTCAGCACCGCAGAGTTTCTTCTTCCGTAATAGGTACCGCTGGTCGGTACGGGTGAAGCGATGATAAACATAAGCAATAATTTGGTGCTTTGAGGGCCCGTATGTTGCTGGGAGCGGATTGCACCCACCGCTACGTTACTAGAATCAGTTCTTGTGATAAAATGGCATTCTTTATAGGGTAATGCGACTAGCACTGGAGGAATTGTTAGGCTGCCAATAAGCGTTTTCGCCACAGCTTCAGCCTTTTCTGTCCAGGCCACACACTGCGGAGATCCACGGAAGACCCGGCGATAAGAGCGAATTCAGGAATGAAATCGCACGAATAAGATGGAAGCTCAAAGAGCTTCGCAAGTCCTTGCGAGTGTTTGAAAATGTAGGAACGCCTTGACAGGACCCCAGAAACACGATTTTTCTCACAGAAATCAAAAACGTTCATGCCGTTCCATAGCACTGCTCTGCCCAAAATAGCTGAAGCGCACGCGGGGGGGTTCTAGGTGCTTTTGAAGGTTTCGGAGGTACTCTTGAGCTTTTCTGCTTAATGCTGAGACTTCGTCCACGCAACCAGATATCCATTCTTCGTTAAAAGGCTTGCATAAGTTTGTTGACCTTACCATTTTAGCCTAACTGTAGCATTAATAGGTCATAACGGAATGCAGCTATAATCAAGTTTGCGAGTGCGGGTGTGAACCACCTTTTTCCCATCTGGGAGAATGATCCTGAGCCTCTGTGAGGTCAAATGTTGAGTAACCTATTGAGACACGTTCTTATGTCACATAATTTGCCAAGAGAAGGCATCAGAAACTCTTGCTTCACAGTAGTCCTGTTTTGGGGATAAAAACTAATACACATGCGCCACCATCTGTCCTTTCCAGGCGTCGAAATCAAGTCTTGCTCGAAGGCACTGGTCGTGTCCTGCACGTTGCCAAGCTTAAAACAAATCATTTACTTGCCTGTCAATCTTCTCCTTAGGCTGCAAAGGCATGAGTACCGCAGGATATAGCTTGGAGGTGATCTGGGTACACGCTCAATGCGGTGCACTGCGAAACCAACAGGTGGCTAGCGTGGTGGCAGGTCGTTTATATCTAGCACATCCACAAATTTTACTTTTTGATATTAATACAATCCTGAGGTTCCTTGGCTGAAAGTTTAATCGACTTTTGTTTTTGAAAGTTAGTTGCAAAACCGCCAAGGCGGATCGCATGTACTCTATCCCCACAGCGTTGAGATACCGCCTCAACACTTCTCACCATAGAGGATATGAGCGCTGTTTAAATGACCAGAAACTGCTTCTTCCTTATGCTTCCTGGCACACTAAGCACTACAGTACGCAGCTGTGGCCACAAGCGCGTCTTAAGGGGTGTCGCCCATCGGAATCCTGGGATTGCGTCGAGGTATAGGGTTTAGATCCAAAAGTTAGTGAGAAGGCTGATAATTTTCGACGCCAGTTTGTGGTGACATGTAACTGCCGTACCCGCGAAAATCCTTGTGTTCTGTCAACCGTCACCAAACGTGAGTTGTAGGGACTGTGGTAACACAGGCAAAGTGTAAATGTGTGCAGTCTCCCTGGAAAAACGATTCACCTCGCATTCAGTGTCAACCAACGCTACCAATTCCTGGTATCAAATGGGGCTTTTAACAATGCATAATCTAGCTTTGGTGGGTCCTCAACTGCGGTTTACTTTTCTGTAGCCTCTTTCACTGCGCCATAGCCTGCATAGGGGTCTCGCCTTATTCCTGTGACGTATCTGGTTTGCTTGTCAAGCAGCTTGCTTCTGCCGGACCCAGGCCCTCAGTTTAGGTTCTTTGATATTTTGCATGCCCTGCAGTTCCAGTTTTAATAGCCCACAGTTCTGCAATTGAAACCGATGTGTTGCCGGGGAGCTGTCTGTGGCTGTCTCGTTTCCCCTGGCTTTCTGTAGTCGTTCCCCGCAGACTGGAGCATGGACTGGTTGACACAAACCCAACACCCTTCTAAACGCGGCATTGCTCTTTTCTTCCAGAAAAAGGCGCGGGAACTGCTCCCATTTGCTTTTAAAGCTTCGAGAATCGTCTATTGTATGCAAAAGTGCCACCTGTTGGCTGTTTACTGGCTCATTCGCTGCTCATCCAGCGAGCACCTGACGCGGCACTTCAAGTTCACTATGAACAATCCACTGATGAAGCAGCTGCTCTTCTACGCTGTGCTTTGAGCAAGCCAAAGTCTTATATTTCCCGGTATATCGATACATTGATTAGCTGTCTGACTCAACCTTTTTCTATCTCCCACAACTGGCTTTTGCGTTAATCTCGGCATAAAGAGCTGGGTCAGGGATTGCGTGAAGAATTGAAGCGTAATAGCTTATGTAGGGAAACGAGTTCATCTGCATGAATTCATCCATTAGTTCGGTGCTTTTCTCCCAAAGAGCATATCACAAGGAGCTTTTGTCTTCTTTTCTGGAGAGAACAAAGAGAGGTGCATCTCCGACCGTTTAGTTAGATGCCGGCCAGAAAAGTGGAACGGCCGTAAGGATAGGCAAAAACTCAAAGATAGCCTCATGTACACAACCATACACACTTGACCGGCTGATAAATTATCTCGTTCCACCAGCTCTGGATCTACTGCGCTCGCTAGACGCGCGGGCCACTCTCTGCCACGCCAAAACGCGGTGCGCCCCCAGCAGCTTTAATCACCAAAAGCTATATTGCTCAGTATGTTGCAAAAGGGCGGGTTATTGGATAGCCAAGTAACATTGAAACCATGTAGCCGGTTTAGGAAACCTGACATGCATCCACAGAGAGGGGAACAGCTGCATCGTACCACTTGGTGCTACCAACTGTAACGCTCCACCAAAGCCTCACACGGAAGAACTCAAATATGAATGCAAACTAAACTGAGAGCTATTATATGTTTATCCAGAGTGTTTCCGTGTTAGCCTGCTTGCGCCTTTCAAAGTTCCCCACACGCGGGAAGCAGGATAGCAAGGGTGTGCGTGGATGCGCCCCCTAAGCACTTCAACCATTCGCAACTACCCGCACAGACCATCTAGCAGACATGCAGATAACATTGCGTTTTACTGAATATAACAAACAGCAGTCTGCAACAGACAACACATATGAACAGCTAGACGAATTTGAATACAATGTAAACCTTGGGATAAAATGTGTCTCAGTGTCACTTAACGCATTATATATACCTTAGCGCGCTACACTAGGACACTCGAACCCTGCTGTCTCGTCCCCATATGAGCACCAGAATACTCGTCAAGGATTCAATGGTTCAAGAAAAGTCTATATTGTTTTGTCGTGAATCTCTGCCCCTTTTGGCTTTGGGGCGTTCATAGTGGCAGTAAGGATAGATGGGCATTTGAGCTGCAAAGGTCATGGGATTACGGCACACTGAATTATGTAAGAGCTAAATGTTACTGGCGTGAAGATGAGGGGGCAACTGCATCCAGGGTTCATGATAGTAGGATAGAACTTTCTCCACAGCAGAAAGTTTCTCAAGTAAGAATTAGAGAGCTTTCCTTTTGATTTGAAAGGCTGACGCCAGTTCATCTCCTGCAGTGTTCCCCTCTCCATTTGCTGTGCGTATTTCATTGTCCGTATGCTCGTTTGCTGAGCTGTGCCTTTTGCCTGATTGGAACACGTACTGCTTCTGCGGAAAGATGAAGCAAACAAATTTCACCAGCTTGCCCGCGCTTGGGCGTTTAAGGACAGCATATCCCCCTCTAATGGCTATTAGGTTGGAATTTTCCGAGTAAAACGTATTTGGGGGGAATCCGCATAACAGAACACAGCAGAGGCTTGTGCAATTTCTGCAGGCTGTCCCCTATTCCCTCTAGTAAAATGTTGCTAGAGGCAGATGATGCATGCCCGGAAAATATGTTTGACGGAGTTTAGTGTAAGCGCAAGCTCGTCAGCCTGCGCTTGCGGCGACATGGGCACCAGGGCACACTAGGAACCCAAGCGCCCCTATTTCTTCCGAGTGTACCTAGCCACTGTACATTTCATTAGCAGAACTCATTAATACACAACGTAATCAGCCTAATTTTTACTGCATTGCTGCAGCATGCGTTGTGTATGTGTCGGCGGTGACCGTAGTTCTCAGTTGGGGCTGCTCCGTGTGGCTTTTGTTATTCTTTTCTAAAAATCGCTTCATTTTATTATCGCTTTCATCTGTGATGATTTTTAGTTTTTTAGTTCCCCTATTCCCGAAGGTCACGGCTGTGTGCATCCGACAGCACAGCTGGGCCTCTTAGATATGGACCCGCCAGGTAAGGAAGCACAAGCTGCAGTACACAAGAAAAACAAGGTCACACAATAACTGGCTCCAAGTACTTTTAAATTTCAACATAAGATACTGGTCGCAGGCGGCCTTTGGCTTTTTTTGTGTGCTACAGAGAAAATAACGACCCCTGAGACACCCCCTCCAAAACATGGTAGGGGAGAGGCGCAACTCGGTGCAGGAAGCGCACATGCACGAATCCGTGCCCCTCCTGACGTCGGGAATCAGAAGATGCTTTCTGGAGCCTCAGAGGAGTCATCGCCGGAAGAGGAGTCTAGCAGTGTGCATGCTCAAAGGCTGGGCGTCGACCTGCCCCTAGACCCGGAGGAAGAAGAATTAACTTTTCAAGCAGCTAGAATCTTCAAGATAGAAAACTTGGAGCCTTTGAAGAAGCTGAGAGTTCGTTCACACCACCCTCCGTAATCAGGCAAACCTCCCATCTTTGCTGATAGCACAGATGCCCCAGAAATGACACAGGAGCAGGGGCACAAGGGAGGTGCGAGGAAAAATTGGAGCTTAGGACTTATGAGCTGTGCTGGAAAAGGGCCTCTGTGGTCCCGAGCTGTGGCTACGGTGGAACGGCTGTGTTTGCAGAAACTGGCATTAATTGCCAATGACGTGTCAGTAATAGAGGGCCTCGAGGCCCAGGGCCCCACGCTGGAGCAGCTTGAGCTCTATCAGAACAGCATCACGCGCATCGACAATGTCCAACACCTGACAAATCTTATGTAATTATTCCTGCTGTCTTTGCAGCTGCCTTTATTGTAACTGCCCTCCCAGGTCTGTGGATTCCAGTAAGGCACTTTCGAGCAACATAAGGGCTTTTAGACATTCCCACGGTGTACTGTTGTTTGCAGAGTGCTGGACTTATCGTTTAATCGGATTCAGCGCATTGAAAACCTTGAGCCCCTTGTACACCTGAGGGAGCTGTTCCTTTCCAGCAACAAAATCACCAAGGTGCCGTACATATACATACATGCATGCATGCATGCACACTCACATGCACATACTACAACAACCTCACTTAGCAACAGTATAAGACCACTGCTGATTTCGCGTCCAGCGATAGTGGGGTCTCCTTCCTCCGTTTAGCAATATTCTTTATATGGCCTTGTCTCTTCCTGTCACCTTGTACTCGTTTGCAAACGTTTGCTGCCTAATGCAGATTGAGGGCATCGCCACGCTGACGGAGCTACGAATGCTGGAGCTGGGATCCAATAGAATTCGGACTGTTGAGGGCATCGAGAATCTCAGCAAGCTCAAAGACCTTTGGCTTGGTAAAAACAAAATAACCAAGATGGTAAGGGACACGTGGGGATGGAATATATATTAGATGCATCTCGGGTAGCTAATTCGCTGCCTTGTGATGTCGACGCTACCTTTTAGTTCCTTACGTTTTTCGTTCCTTCCACATGGTCCCCGGTATCTTGTCTTGACACATGTTGTTGTTCCTGTGGTTTTCCCTGGGGCCTCGTTTTCCCACCTTTCAGTGAGATCCACAGCCTCCCTTCCTTGTACTTTGGAGGCCTTCCTGAGGCGCAGTACTCGAGTCTGTCGCATCCCACAGGACCAATGGGGCTCCAAACCATGCATTTTCTGATAACTCCCAGATTTAGAGGATTATAAAGAGGCGGCATGTGCTTTGGCAGGTGGCACTACTTTTCATGTCGTCCAGGGCTGTGTTTGTTTGTGCTTTTGCCTTGGTGCATTTCGTTGATTCTTACGCCTTTGTAACTCGTATGATTCGATCCACGAATCGATAGGCAGCCTGGAGCCGTCATAGAACTTTTGTGGTTTGTCGTACTTAGGAGCTGCCGAATTTGCCTAACTTGGAGCGGGTAAGTCTCCAGTCGAACCGGCTAGAGGCCTGGGACGTAGTGCTCTTTGAGCGATGTCCGAAGCTGCGCGAACTGTACCTTTCAAACAACAATCTGCCTTCCCCCCCCACAGAGATTCGTCGGCTAGTAAGCAGAAGCCTTGAACCCCCAACCTGAATCACTGCCTGATTCATCACTTTAGGCTTCTATCTTAATCTCTTACGGGCGTTTCGGCACTAGTGTACGGCCTCTCTGCCTCACCAGTGTTGGTTCTTGCCTTTCCGCTCACCTTTATGATTACCCTGGACGCCCTCCTTTTGTATGGTCTGCCGGACCCTCCAAAGCCGCCTTTTGCTGAATTTGCTCCATATTGCAGGAGGATTTGACTATCCTTGATTTGGGTTGTAACAGAGTTGAAGAGGTGGAAGCAGTGGCGCCGCTTAATCAGTTACAGGACCTATGGGTGAGAAATCCGCTTTAGCCTTCTTCCCTCAACCGTACACCTAGCACCGTAACTACATCTTGTGTCGCCTCTTATCCCTAAAACGGAGCTGTGTGGCGCCGTACCGCCTGTGTTATTGCAGCTAAACGACAACAAGCTACAGAGCTTGGACCACTGCCGCTGCCTTCAGCGGCTGCCTGCCCTGGATACACTGTACCTCGAACGCAACCCGCTTCAGGGAAACCTGGGTCCAGGCTACAGGCAGGCAGTGGTCGATCTGCTGCCTCGTAAGTCCGCCGCTACAGCAGCAGCTGCTCTTGCTGCCACTATGTGCTCTGTGGCTTAGAAATGCTTCATGCATCATCCTCCCTCTGCTGTTGTGTACTGCTGTGCTCCTGCAGGCCTGTCTCAGCTGGATGCACTGCTGCTTCACACCTCCATCAATATTGTGCACCACCCGCAGAAAGATGGTGAGACCGTTCCGGGGCATAGGCACAATTTGACACGCAAAATCGATTACCCGCAGATCTAGAGGACCCTCTGCGAGCGGCTGATCAGGGTTAGATGGGCATTGAGCCCTGTCACCTGGGGGGAAAACGCGTGCATCGTTTCAAGCTTTCTGGCGCACACGTTGTGCTGCGGTCTGCAGAGTCGCCTGTCAAGCCGATTATGAAGCACTAGCAATCTCCTATGCGTGCCTCTATCTTTTCCTCTTCTTCCTCCTGCTGGAAAGTCTGTAATCCAAAACTTTGTGATGTGCAGCTGCAACAGGTAGAACCTCTCCAGTAGCCCGTAGGCCCTACATTCTGCCTGTAAGGGCAGCGTAAGGCTTTGATACAGCTGCAGCTTTGAAGAATCAACCAAATACTGGTTGAGTTGCCTTTTAGAAAGCTTGTACAGGAATTGATGTCCTGAAAAGAAGAGGACGGTGCTGACACCTGCAACATTGGCCGGGGACTCTACATGTGCCCACCGATGTGCAGGCTCATTTATACATTCTATAGGGTCGCTATGCTGTGGTTGTATCAAGGTGTAGGGGTACAGTATGCCTATCGTGAAGGAGCTTGGATTGCTCCCCTCAGGAGGGTTCTGTATGACGAGAGCGGCAGTGCGTTGCTGCTTGCTTTCGTTCCGTGAGAGTCTCTTGGCCCTTGAGTTTGTCTCCACATTGCCGCCTTCATGTTTTGAATAGCCAGTGCAAGCCAACAACACAGCGCTCATGATTTTTATCTTCTAATGGACTTACTGCCATCTCGGGGTCAAGCGTAGGCAACTTGTCGCGCGTTTAATTTCTGGTAAAACGAAGTTGTGCCACTGGCTGCAGTTTTGTTGTTGAGTCCTCCATGCCATTGGATGTCGGATCATCGAGGTGCACCACTGCGTAAATGGGGAAAGAAATTATCAATATCAAGTTCTACTTTCGAAGTAAAACTATTCACAGCGAGAAGCGGCTTCCCGCTGCCTTTAGATTGCAGGATAATGTAATTCTGTAGGCATGTTCTTTGCAGGGTTGCACGCGTTCATCCTAAGCACCAATTTCACCCTTCTTTTCTTCAGCCATTTTTTAAGCGCATGCACATTGTGGTGCTGAATGAAAGTGTCCCGAAGTAGGCTCCATAATTTGTTGTTTTTGCGAATAGTCCATAGTTCTAACAGCTACACCAAAAAACCGATTCTGGTGCTCAGGCCCTTCCCGTTTGTACGTATCTTGCAAGATGTATATAGTTTACTTGGGAACTTTAATGAGGACACCATGGGTTTGCCTGGGTCCTTATAAGTCAAATAAGAGGTAGCACTTAATAAAACACAGTAGAGAAATAAATTGAGAATACTCAGGTAGCGCTACTTGCTAAAGTCGCGTGGCACACTGTAAGCACCATCCTTTGACATATCTAAAAAGTTTCATCTGGCAAGCTATCCAAAACTGTTGCATCAAGCCACGCTCCACTTACGCAGCTACAAAACTGCAGCACTGATATTCAATACACTATCTTGCAGCGTTGACCTTGCCATCTGACAGGTTTTATATTCCTTTGTTGCGGAGTACAGATAGTTGCACACTCTAATACTGCCTGTCTGTATGCAAGTGCACGAAGTTACGGCATGAGCTTGTGCAGCTGCCCCGAATAATTAAAGGTGCAATCCTTTGTACTGTGCCAGAACTCTCCTCAAGGAGGAAACCGATTGGGTTGGGCAAGTAGAGGACCCCTGGGACAGATGTTTCGCAGCTTTTTGTGTCAATTTTTGAAGCTTCTTGCGTACGATCTGCGTGTGTGGGCTCAAGAAGGAAGGTTGCAGACAAACGGCTTGTCCAAGGAGTCATCGATTGATGCATCCTTTATTGCCTTCTTGGATGTACTACAGCAGCAGCCGTAATTACAGGAGCCCCTTTAACGCGCCACTTACATTCACATGTGTGCAACTCACTGTTTGTGATACTTGTTCATAGCTTAAACTTTCGCCAGGTGCTATTATTTTCCCGCCATTTGGCGTGAATAGAGTTGTGGGTCGCTTGCATAGCTGCGGAAAAATAGGCAAAAAAGGCCTTCCATAAAGCTCGCTGTGTGCGCTCTCAGGGGTATCGATAGTCAAAAGTTACAAAACCCTACTCAAAAGACATCTGCCTCAGTTGAACAGCCTATATGGAAGCTCTACTTCTGCTATGTAACGCGCAGCACATGCACCTAATACTTTACCATAGAAAAATGCACGTGTTGTGCTATGGTAGAGGAGAAGCTCACCTTGCTCTTTGTCAATTCTTAACCGTGTAAGCCAATACGGGAGAATCAAGCTTTTCCATAACATATGTATGTATGTGGAAGAATCTACACCGAGTACGACTAGTCCAATTCTGCAGCAACTTTTTACTATACAAATTATTGCATGATCTGCTTTGCGAAAGACTGTACCTAATTGCTTTAGGCTTGTAGAAACTCATCTGCACCCCTAACGCGCCACAGTGCAAACGCGAGGTAGCTTCTCTGCTGTATTTCGGCCTCTCTCCAGACCCGGGATTCCAACGACGGCATGTACATGGATGACTCTTGCTAGCGAGCAACCATTCTATGTAGCTTCCTAAACACTATGGAATACCATGGTTTATCAATTCTGGCTGAGAGCGCATGTTTAAGTTCCCAAACTCGATAAGCGCTCTATTCAGCCTTCCTCAAAAGCCTCACAAACACTATCTCAAGTAAGTGTGTACCCTTGTTCTTACTCTGGGAATAAATAAGAATAGTCCACAAAGCCTCCTGGGGGAGCAAGCTCGCTTTACATCCACCAATATTAAGAGCCTTCATAACTAGTAGCAAATTGAAGCCTGAATGGAGCAGACAAATATATGCGAAAGTACCACGTATGTTTATGTATATCACCACTTGGCTATGGAATGTTGATTGCGTGCACTGTAGAGTGCAATCCCAGTGGGGGTTAATAATAAGAGCATCTCTATTGGCCCGGTGAGAGTCAGTGTGGTAAATTAATCACTGCGACTACTTTTTCAGATTCCAATCGCGTACTTATCTGTGCACTTTACTCTGTTTGTTCTCTTAACTGTTGCAAGGGAGCCCCGTGGTATCTTTGGATAGCGGGTTCCAGCACCGAGCTAAATTAAGGGAATCAACTGTTGCTGTTATCAAATAATCAAGCTGATGCTATTTAAACATTAATAGAGGCTTTTAACGGTGATTGTTCACAGCTTTAAGACAAGAAGCTCTGCATACGTCTATGGAATATGCCCATGAACGTTTTTTGAAATAAGCAATCTAAGACATTACGTATTGCGAAAAGTAATGCGTAAACGCCTGGTTGCACGAAGCTTTGTGTAAAATGACTCGCAGTAAGCCTCATACATTATTAAGCATCGCGCTGTCTGTATGACTCGGAAATCCCACCGGAGCTCCTTGATATTACGTTTTGAAAGGTCTAAAGACGAATTGTAGGGCAATGCACGGTTTACGCCTTCTCTTTCGTAGTACCGACATGCGGCCAGGGCTGAACGGCGACAGCATCATCTTCGCCGAATCCGCGCGACGAAGGAAGCTGAGTTTTCTGCTGGCAACAAAGTGTGGATTGACAGCCGGACCTCCCCGGGGGCACCCACCTGGTCCACGCTGGAGCCTCACTACTGCAGACCATTTTTGGTAGCGAAGCGGATAGGCATGGTGAGCTCCCGGGCTGCCTCACCTTTTCGTACACTCGCCACGATATTTGTGAACTCTCGACTTGTCAGAGACCAAATGTGCAACCCTAAAATGACCTCTGAAGAAGCAGCAGTCGGTTGGCTCCGTGTCTAAGACGCCACAGGACAGGCAACAGACACCTAAGACGACATTATGTTTGAAAGCAACGCCGGCAACTCTATCCAGTATCTGGTCAAATGGGGCGGCACGTCAGAGGAACAGGCAACGGTACCAGCCAGAAACCTTACCGATTGCCTCGCCGCTCGTCCGCGCTGGGCAGCGCGATCGGCACAAACGATTCCGTCAGTCAACTGCAGGCTCGTTTGCCCCGCCGATGCGACGACGGGGGCTCAAGGAAGGGGCTTACTACCAGCAGCCGCTTGCGGAAGCTACCATGCAGCACAAGGCTAGCAGGCTCTTTCGGCCGAAAATTACTTAGGCACCAGTGAAACAGGGGAATGTGGAGAACACGCAGCAAATCCCTACAGGACACATGAAGAGAGCTCGTCTAGAGAAACTCACACTTGAGCTCGCTAGCGGAGCACAAGACGCCTTCGCCAGGGGGGATGTGTCGTGCTCGCGAGGAGGGGGAAATTTTAGTGCACAGCCCTACAATGGCGTAGGCTTCTTAGCGAAGGCATGAACTTGCAAGATACAAAGTGATAGTAGAGGGGCTCCGAACAGAAAAGGGCCCAAACAAGTGTACAGTAAATCTTGAATATGAGTCCAACACACTGGGCCATCGTGTAAAATGGGGATTTGGGAATGGAAACACTACGCCCAAAAGTAAGTCTGGTAAACTTCGCTATGCTTAGATTACTGGTCGTTTAAAGAATATATATGTTGAGCTTTACACAAGATGTACTGTTTATTTGTCTAGAGATCTCTGCACAGCGGTAGCATGGCGTTGCATCTAGCGCAGCACATGATATGCGCTGCACAGATGCTTATCTATAGGACACACCCTGACGCTGCGGAGGTTGACGCATGCCATCTAGTTGATGGCGCTGATGTATATGTCTAGATGGCTTTCATACACAGTCTAAGCATCCCAAGTGCACAAGTTCTTGAATTTTGCGTGTGGTTAGCAAACGCTAGCCGCGGTATCAACCACTCATTTGGCTTATACTCCCGATTCCTGCCTTCCACTAATTAGTAAGGATAGACTTGTATGCAGAGTAGGCAACGCAGCTTATTCAGGCATGCTTTCCCACTTGATGATCAATGCTCGCTGCTCGAGCGTTAGGTAGGGAGGTTACCCGGTACCCTACCACATTGCATAATGCGGACATCTCTGTATTTTTCCAACTGCAGCTACACACGCAAAGCCGAATAAAAGTATAGGCCAGATTCTAGAGATTTGAACTCAGGCGCCCCACTTGGAGTCTGTAGTTGTATTCATTTCACCATGAGCCTAAAGGCCACCTAGCCAGCCATTGATCTACCATCGACAACCTAGTGGCTAATCCTGCACATTTAGACTAGTAAAAGACCATTAAGTTTCACAGACAATAGTGGAACCATTTGAGGGATGCTGGGATCTGCTAGTCAACTTACACTCAGCATTTTGCTCTGACCCTTATGCTGTGCTTTATAACGGACACAGGAGTGTTGTCAGTCCTTAAAACAAAAACGGAAGCTCTGCATACTTTGCTTACACAGAAGCGCGCCTTCTGGGATATCCATGAAGGGGACCATCAGCCTCAAACCCTGTTTGAAGTTGACCGAAGGCTCTTAAGTTACCACTGAAGAGTTTTCCTATGCCCTTCCTTCATAGCACAGGGTTCAGGCAAGAGGGGATAGAGGACAGCTGGGCGCACGCTGTCGTAACGTGACGTCCGAAGTTTCGCACAGGTTTGCACCTAATACATGTGCTCCACAGGCAAAAAGCAGTCACAGTAATGAATTGGGACTCCTGGGGCTCTGCAAAAAATAATATGAAAGGAGGTCCAACTCACGAAGTCAGTACGTTGATAGAAAAGCCAACGAAATGGAAATCACCCAAGCGGTGCTTGGACTACTACACGATAAGTTTAAAGCTGCTCTAGCCTCAACAAAACAAGAGGTGTAACCACAAGGCAACCAATCAATGATTTTCAAAAATTGCGCGTAATAACCTGCTTTAGGCACCATAATAATTTTTTGCCTGCACTGCAGATAGTGCTGTAAAATCTCGAGCCAAACCAATGGCACCCATATATAACATACTGCACCGTGAAAATAGATCACACAGTTGAATATGTATTTAAAGGTTCTATATACCGTTGACTTATGCTGCATATACCAGAGGCTGAAAACATGGTCCACAAGTCAATCTCCAGAGGTCCACCCAGCATTTGAGTTCAGCTAGGCAGTCTCAGGCTCCGTTGAGCGGATCACCACATAAAATGATCGTGTCATATTCCACTATCAGGATCACACTTTGCGATGGGCAGGTTTGTATTTCGTATTAAGGCCATAAAGTTGTAATCGGCACGAAAAATATTGTGCTCAGGCCTTTTGCTAACGAGGATCCTTCAAATTTCAAGCGCCTAAGCTCTAACTGTACACATGAAAATGCGATGTGCCACATATGCAGGATCAGCAGGTTGTGTCAAAGACAGTTTTTCTTCATTTGAAGGCTTAGTAGGTTAAACTTTGGAGAATCAACGGGTATATGTAGTACTGATTTTTGTTAAATCAAGATGATTACTACCTATGGAGTAGCCCCCACACTAGTTGGTGCTTTAGGCTTTCTGTTGCACAGAACCTTTTAAGGGCATGGAGTAGAGTAGACATGCATGACCAGAGGGATCAGTCGAAGTGAACTCGGTCCAGTAGGGTTCTAGATGTCAGCAACTCTCTAGGGTCTACAGCACTTCGTTCCCGTCAGTCAATTATAGAGCTGTTGCTATCGAAACTACTACTATGCAGCTGCAATGGGCTGCAGATTAAATAAGTGGGCCGTGCCGCATGTTAGCAATGGTGGCGTTCGGGGGGTAGTTTCCCACCAGTAGGGAGAGCTCAAATCAGGAGAGCCTCTATTATTTCTAGCTGCGAATACTGATACATGGAGTAGTACTAGCAGTAGATTAGATGCTATGCGTGGAAGCAGGTAATCTGACGGTGCCTTCTCGGAATGCCCCAGGGCTGTACCAAATATACTTTTCACTCATCGCTGTCTCTCTTTAAAACCAGGTGGTATAACAAGTATTCATGTAAGGGGCTATACAATACGAAACTGTGGTTTTTTAGCGTCCATAATGAGTCAGGTGGAGCTCTCGATAGCTGCTATTTTCGCACCCTGTGGCTCCCGTTCTCATTGTGGTGGCAACGTTGGCACACTTGATCCACGTGGCGAGAGTTTATTTCAAGCTTGCATTTTATTTAGCTCTTGTGGATGGAATTTCGGGCCCGAATTTCGGGCTTGAAGTGAATAAATCGGCAGCGACCAGTTCTAGTGTCAGTTGAGGCAATATTTTAGAATCAAAAGGGGGAGCACATCGATCATGCATCCTTAGGCCCTGTAAGTTTCACAGTGCTACCATGTCGAATTTAAAAAGCAATAAATCAATGTATTTTGCGAGTTGAAAGATATAAGCAAACTGTTTGGCAATGTTGGCTTCGTGCAATTGTTGTAACGTGCTGCCAACTGCAGGGAAACCATGGTGACTCCAACTGAGCAAGTTTCCGGCTGTTTGAAGGCCCTGATTATGCCGTAGGAATCAAAATTTTCAGAAATAATGTTTTGCACACTTCAAGAAAGGGCGAAGAAAGCAACAGCTACTCAAGCGCTGTTATCAGGCAGGAGACTGTCAGTGAACTAACTACAGGCGAACCACTGGTCCACCAGGGTCTCCGTGCACAGATGCATATCCACCCAACTAACGAGCAATCCTGCTTAACAGCCTACTATACATTGAAATACTTTATCCAGCGTACATATATACGGGATATATAGCCTAAAAGGGGCTTAGTGGCTATAAAGCTGGCAAGAAATTCTTCACCGAGCGCTGGACTGGATGGGCTAGCGGCTCCCTGGTAGACATGCTAGTATTTTTAGCCTTTAAAGCGCAGCCCTAAACACCATCTTTTGCAAAATTTAGTCCAAGCTTCTGCTTAATCCACTTTTGTGAAATGGGAGTGGTAATGCAGTGTTTCAGGATGCTGAAAGCGCCATTTAGTACGCAGTGCACAGACTTGCAGTAGATTCTACCAGAATTGGTGAATGCACTACGCAGATGAAAGAATTTTTTCTCCTTCGTGCTAATGGGCTGAGGCTGTAAGCGGTGCTCGTGGATAGGCACATGCAACGCTTCTTGCACAGTCTGTCGACCCTTTCTTGAAGGGTTGGGTGAGAAGCAAGTGACTATTGGTGTAAGGAGCAGCTTGAGTTAGTTGATGGGAAATTTAGAGAGATCTCTAACATAGCAGATCCAACTGGCCTCAATCCACTGTGCTCTACACATGCATAGGAAGGGGGACAGGAAGGGTGGGACTAGCATGCACTGTCGAGCCAAGGCACGCCATGCAGCTGCACTCAGTTAGCTAACTCACATGTATGCGCCAAAGATATGTTTTGTATATAGCTAGGGGTGATTCCAAATGAATAGAACGTGCCAACATCAGGATCGTGTGCTGAGCTGCTTTTGCGGGACAAGCCATGTGCTTTCCTTTATGCGTGAGCCAGGTTACTCAGTAACCATTGTCGATAGTGAATCGTGGCTTGAATTCTAATATCACAGTTGCCAAAGTAACAACATTACTTGCATAATTAATTTAGTTGCATAAAGAAAAAAACGATTAACATTTTAGCTCATGGACCAGAGTTATATTTTGGACGGACAAAAAACCCTCTGCTGTTGACATTAGATGTCGAACCTTTTCCCTTTTAAACGCTCCTATGTTGCCACGAGCATCTCTGATAGATGCAGTAAGTACCTCTGCACCTATGTGCTTACTCGAGCATATGTATCTACGTGATCGCGTTCCGTACCTCCATCCGTTACATTCGCTAGCCTTCCCTTCTACAGAAGAGGCAAACGGGCTTCTCTTGTGGAAGCATCGCCTGTTTATTTGGCTTTTACATTTTTACCACTTCCCTGCAGTAGATCATATCAATAAGCTGCCTACGTTACCTGAAATTGTTCTTCCAAGAATCAGGGCAGCGCTGCCCTCTAACAGGGACACGAGGCGCTTGACAAGCGAAATAACTACAACTCTGCTCCCGCAGATATTTCTGCCGTCGTTCCTCCAAATAAAATAAGCCACAGCCCGAACGGTACCGGTGCGGACTGCGGGCGCACCACCACAGGCGTACAGCACCGCGGTGGCCCCGTAGGTCCGGGGCAAGAAATAAATTGAACAGACCCACAAAGCCGATACGACAGAACTGCATTCCAGCAGCTCCTCCAACGTCATGCCTACACTAGCAAACAGGCATTGGGGGGATATCAGGGGTGATACGGTGGTGAAATTGTTGCATTTTGGGACTTCGATGATAAGAGAGCCACGCAGTCGCCACACTGTTTCTTCGCACCATCACATCTGCATATCCTTGCCAGCATAGGTCCACTGAACAAAGCGGAACTCTATGCCCCTTTGCGGTACCATAGTTGAGGAGGTGTGGAAACTGCAGTTAGCCTCTGCGGGGCAACATGCAGCACGGCTACTTTTGTGGGAAGCCGTAGCATCAGTGTGCTCTGCAGGGCTTCACGCGTTTTGTGTGGGTGCCGCTGTTTCCAGTACGGGAATCGTACACCCGGCCCACACAACGTGTCAACCAATATCTTTAACGTTCCTGCTCTTCTCATTCCCTTCAAGCAGCAGGGAAGTAGTGTAACTTAGACTAGGGACGATGGATCCTCCTCGTTGACCGACCCTAAAGCACGGGGGAAACCGAAAAACAGGCCCTCAGAGGGTCCATGTCTATCCAACATACAAGCTACTACCAGAAAGGTATGCAATACTGGACTAGAAGTTGTAGGGGTCGTCTGGAGATGCTGCTGCTTTGCCCCAGGTCCTGAGAGGGCACACATAAACGAGCAAATAGCGACATATCGGGCAAAGCTGGGAGCACTCAAGGCAGAGGGATTCACCAAGTAGCACCTAAATCCACCCACGTCCCTCTGCGTTTTGTATCTCGGCATCCCACTAGCGGCATCTTAACTTTATCTCTTTAGTTGCGCCGTAGTAACACAGAAAAGGATACAGAGATCAGGAAGATTAGACTCTGTAATTGACGAAAGTGCTATAAGTAAAACACCGTTCAACTTACCCCTGGAAGCGCTCGTCATATGTGAAACCTAGAAACAGTCCTTCTCCCTCATCGAGATCTGTGGGGTTGGAGCTACAGGGAGAATCGGGCCTCTCTTCGTCTGGAGGATCCACGGAATCTGCGAACTCTGCAGGCTTTGACGGGGCTGCCTTTGTAGCAGTACCAGTGGTAGTACCTTGTCCATCGGACGCAGGCTTCGCTCCTCTGTTACTGGTGTTACTGCTGCTGCTGCTGCTGCTACTGCTGCTGCTACTGCTGCTACTGCCACTGCTGTCGTGTGCGTTGGGTGTTCTTGAGTGCTGAGATCTGGAGGCATTGCCTTCCGCAGTTGCGGTTCCAAAGGCAGCGTCCGGTCCCTCCTCTTCCTCCGATAGCACTGGTTCCTTCTTGAGCTCCGGCGGAAAATATTTAGAGTCCTCATGCGAATGGAGACGCGGCTTGAAGGGAGGCTTCACCTTTTTGGCGTAGAGATCCTCCCAGTTGACAGACCGAAAGAATGGATGCATCTGCAAGAGGCAAACACGACAAACTCGAACGTATACCCGAGAAGAACGCTAAAGAAGAGCTCTCCTACCGTCATATCTGTTACATCCTTTAGTATCAGCTGCACGAATTGAGTAGGCTGAGGCTGTTGGACCCTCACCTTAATCTCCTCTGCATCTAACGGCCCGGCCCCCAATCGGTTGTTGGCGTCACGGTGCAGCAAACTTCTTAAGAGGTCCACCGCAACTGGAGACAGGTAAGCAGGGAAGTCCAATCCACCCCTGAAGCAGGACACAACACAACGCACTTCAGCTGGTTCTGCAAAATCTCAATGCCGCTTATTTATACAAACCAGTATTTCCTCTGACAGCCCCAGGGTTCCATGAAGCCCGGAGGGAGGATCCAGGGATCCTAGGGTAAAGTGATACACCCATTTTTGGCTGTCCCTCACTCTGAAACAGGATAAAAAGGGTCACTCATACTGCATGGAAAAGCCTGTATGCCATGTTCTTGCAGGAGGGACAGAAAAGTGTAAATAAGGCAAATCAAAGTGTCGAACTGCCAGGTGGCAGTAACCCAGCAGGCTTTGGAGCTACGATTTGTGTTGTACCCTAAGATACTGCTCAGGAAAAAGCACGAAAAAAAGAATCTCACCAAAGGATGTTGCTGAAGAGGGCCTGGCGGTCAGACGTATAGAACGGCGGGAGGCCAGTAAGCATCTCGTACAGCAGTGCCCCGAGGCTCCACCAGTCCGCCGCTTTCCCGTGGCCAACTTGACACAAAATTTCGGGAGCGATGTACTCGGGGGTCCCGCAGATGGACTGTAGCAGCATGCAAGCAAGTACTGCTACCAGCAAGGTGTATGAGGACACGCAAAGAACTATGGTGCAACATTACAGAGGGTTCAATCAACCCATGCGCAACTGATCGCTCGCATTGCAAGCAACTTACGTGTTGCACACCGAAAGCCACGGAAAAGAACAAAGACGCTGATCCCATGCAGCTTGCGCCTAGGTCTATCTAGCTGCTCCCCCCATGGTCCACAAGTTCATAGTGCACTAAACCAAAAACCCCGCCACTCTACCACCAGCCGTAACTACGCCAGTACGCCTTGACGCAGTAGCATTCCGCAAAAGGCTTGCAACAACGAGATCCATGTCGTACCCTAGCGCTATTGTTGTCGGCGATTCCGCTTTTGGAGAGGCCAAAGTCTGTGAGCCTCACATGGCCCTCGGCGTCAAGGAGGACGTTTTCTGGCTTTAGACTACAACACAAGAGAAAACAAGCGCACAGAATGCAAATACCACAACGATCGTACACTCTGAATGCACCTTTTAACAGGCTAAAGATGAAGCTGCTGTCCGCTGAGACAGGATTGCTATAGCAGGTCAAAAGGCGAGACCACTCTGAAGAAAACTGCACGAAAAGGCCGCAAAATGGACTTAAGCTGTAACCCCACAGTCTCTGCATGGACTTTAGCCTCGGGTCTTGAGCTACGATGGCATGCGCAAGGGACCGGGGGCGCAAGCCAGCTGCCTGGCATTTTGGGGGTCGGTAAAGAATCAGTGGGACTGTACTCTCTGTATATCACATTGTGCTTATGCAGGTGCTCGAGGGCCAACAGCAGTTCAGCCGTGTAGAAGCGGGCACGAGATTCCGAGAATTTTCTGTCTTTTTGCAAGTGGAAGAAGAGCTCGCCCCCCGGGCAGTATCTGTGCGGACGCCACATAGTAGTATAGTGAAGAAAATGAGACAGGAGAACAAATACACGAGGCAAGTTCGCATCTTGCAGACCCATGCTGGCGCATTAAGCAGAGGCGCCAACAGCAGTAGCCGAGAAGCAGTTAAGACAACTGTAGCGTTCTAGTACTATCAGGGGCCCTGCTGATGCTCGGCGGTGCACAGGAAATGCAGCAGAGACCAGGATAAGAAAGGCAAGGGAACGGCACGGATCGGGTCATATCAGCTGACTCCAAAACAAAGTATAGCTTCTTGGGTGTTTGAAAGGCAAAGTGCATCTGCACAATGAAAGGATGCGAGATGACCTCCAACACCGCCCGCTCCGTGCGCGTATGCTGCACCTGCAGTCGCAGTCACGCAACCGTGCAGACCCTAACCAGCTGTTTTCCGGAGAAGCAAAAGCAGCAGCGAAATCTCCCGCAGCAGCGAAATACGTTTGAGCATCTGAATCAGCAGATGCGGGAGCAGCAACCAGTTTTGAGGTCGGCTAGATGTGTAACTGCTGGTTACCCAGGTTCCACGCCAGTCAACCTATGCCAATAGAGGGTACCGACACTCTAAGTACCACACATGCTTCAACTGAAACTTGGATTCTTCTAAGGCTCTTTATGTCGGACCCCACCTGACTGCGGCGTAACAAGGAGCTCTTTAGGAGGACCTTAAGGGCATAAAGCTGGTGGTCTTGCTCGAACTTAACCAGCATTACCTTCCCTACGAAGCAAAAAGCACAAACCCTTGGCCCTAGAGGCTACAAACTCATACCTGCACGGCGACGTGCTCGTGAGACAACAAACGAAGTTCGCCACTGCTGCACAAACTGTGCTGCCCATCGCGAATTCCCTAAATATCCCATCCACTTGGTACCCTTCACCCTACCCCGCCGACCTCGGTGACTACAACGATCATGTTGCCCAAAACATTCGAGTTCAATCAAGGGGCAGATGTACCATAGGATCCCTTCCCAATGACGTGCAGCAGCAGGAAATCCTCGGGACCAACTTTTTTTCTCTCAACAAGGGGGGCCAAATAGGCCATATTCTTCGTGTACACGTAGCCCTCCTCTGGGAGCATGTGGCTGTTGGGGCTGCTCGTACTACGACTGCTGCTGCTCGCTTTGAGGCTCCTGCTTATCCTGCTTGAGTTGCCATCGCTACCACTGACACCACGCTTCCCCCTCTCGTCGCTGTTCCCCGCATTTGCAGCTTGAGTTGGGAATGCTGGTGCCGCTGATTCTCCGACATCCGACAACGCCCCCGGTCCTCCCTCACTGCTAACAAGTCCATGGCCGCTGGCGTGCGCGACAGAAGTCGCCAAAGCAGGCAAAGCCGTAGCAGCAGCAGGATCGCTCGTTGCGACTTCACCCCGTCCAGATGTAGAGCCATCCCCCGGCACCTGGTAGCGTGCTACAAGGGACTGCTGTTCCTCCTGAAGAGATCGGGGGCGGTGAGGCGGTCTTTGCAAGTTCCAACTGTTTGTGCCCCTTCGACGAGGCACTGCTCCTCCAACCTTTCGATGGCGTTGCTGCTGCTGAGCCGGCTGCGGCGATACCTCACACGAGGCGCTGTGCGCAGCAGTGGAGTCGCCACAGATAGTCACCGGGGTCACCTGTTCTGCTGTCAGCTCAGCATTCGGCGTGCCTGACTGAGCAAGCAGCGTTGCCTCGAACCCTGCCCCCGCTGCTGCATCGCATGGAGAAGCAGCAGCAGCAGGAGCAGACACGAAGGCATCTGATGGTGGCACTGGGATTGACTGCTCCTGCCACAGAGGTGAGGGGTCCTTGTGAGGGCCCACAGCACTGCCTCCCTGCGGCTCCAGCTGCGACAACTGTGGCTGCGGCTGCTGCTGACTGCGCTTAGGCTCCCGCTGATGGATTCTGCTTCGTCCAGTTGCCCTCTGTCTTCCCCTTTCCTGCCGCTGCTGCGGCAGCCCACCCGAACACTGCTGCTGGTCCTGCACCTGTCCCTGCTGCTGCTGGTGCTCCTGCAAATGCCTGTGTTGCTGCTGCTGCAGCGCATGATGCTGCTGCAGATGCTGGGGCTGCTGATGCAGATGCTGCACAGGCATGTAGGAATAAATGGGCATGTCTACAGAGGGGACTACAGCACAGTGCATTTGGTGTTGCCAGTGTAACCAGTGCGCGTGTTGCCACTGCCGCCACTGCTGTTGATGCTGCTGCTGTTGCCAGTGCTGACTTTGTTGCCACTGGTGCTGCCGCTGCAGTTCATGCTGCTTCTCCTGTTGCCAGGAATCCGAATACTGCGGTTGCCACTGAGACCACGTCTGCGGATGTGGCTGTCCTCCCCCTACGAATCCACAACGACTGCTGTGAGACGCTGGGGCGTCGAGTGCACCAACGTTGGCGGCGGCATTTAAGGCTGGCTGTGCAGCAGCAGGAGCTGCTGCTGTAGGGGGGAACCATTTTCCTTCCACATTTGTGTGGCTGTCTGCTACATGCCATGGTACTCTGTTGCAGTGACTACGGTCACTACTTGCAGGATCAGCAGCAACGGCGGCTCCTCCTGGATCAGCCACTGCATCCTTAGCACCAGCCGATTGTTGCGTGGGGCACTCCCTGGAGTTGCTGGCACTGGCTGCAGGCTTCTTCGGCTTCCCAGAGGCCCCAAGGGTATCGGCTGCCCCTCCATGCAGGCTTCCTTGTGCGCATGAAACCAAAGGGACCCCCATCATGGTGAGGTAGGGGTAGTCCAACGCCTGCTGCGCATAGTGGGGAGGCGAAGGGGCTATTAAAGCCTGGTGCAGCAGCTGTTGCTGTACCTGCTGTTGCTGCTGCTGAAACTCGCTTGCATGCGCATAATAAAGCTGCCGCATGGGCAGCAGTGACGCGGCCACTGGTCCCGTTGCATGCGTCGCAGCGAAGGGCGCTGAGGCTCCCCGAACTTGCAGGTAACAGCCAGGGGTTGCCTGGTAGGGGTACCCCACAAGGGGAGGCTGTAACTGCAGTGGCACTACGGGAGCTTCGGAAGGCCCAGGAGAAGACAGTGTCTGCGTGCGACCACTGCCACCCCCGCTAGCACCGTCCTGCGGGAAGGAATAGCCCTGGTATGAACGGTTGGGAAGGCCTTCTTCAAGAACGCCTGACAGCCCGTTCCCTCTGTTGGATCCAAGGTGCTGTGAGCTTGAATACGCAGGGTTACGCTGAGCTGACTGGGTGTATCGCCCCCCTAAGGTTTCAGACGCAGAGTGGGAAGCCTCTGGAGTCACTCCTGCTTCCTCTTGTTTAGGATTCCGTGGCGGGGGCTTTGAGGGACCTCCTCCAGAACGGGAGTCTGCTGGCATTGCAGAACTGGAGGGTGCAGCACTGAGCTGTTGCTGCTGGTTGCATCGCTGTTGGTACCGCGGCGGAGGGATTGGCGGATTCCTCGCTCTAGGATTCTGAGGCCGTTGATGCTGTTGATGCCTCGGATATTGCGCCTGAGGCTGCAGTTGGTGCCGGCAGCGATGCTCATGCTGTCCCAGTTGTCGCTGTTGGGGGAGGTTTCGCTGACCACGACGTCCACATCGAGCTTGCTGCGTTTTCACGTGCGGCTGCTGCTGAAACTCAGATTGCAGCAGCTGCTGTTGCGGCGGTGATTGTGGCTGCTGCTGCTGCAGCTGCTGAGGCGCTTCCTGTCTCTCTGCCCTCATCGCGGTTCTACGACTGGGATGGTGGTGCTGCAGCCTCGAGGGCCCCAAGGCCGCGGCTTAACACAGCACGTGTCGAATTCTTCCGTTAATGGATTGTTCCTGGTGCTTTTACTTTTGCATGGAGCTTTTTGGCCCGGAACAAGGAGACTGACCCTCTGAGAAGCCTGCAACAAGCCCTGGAGGTCTGCAGCCGGTACTTTGAAAAGCGTGGCGGCAGCAAGGCCCCCCAGCTGCAGCGATAGACTCGAAGACGCCAGGACCGTAGGGGTATGAAATTAGAGCATTCAGGAGGCCCCCCTGAAGGCTGGACGAGACAGCAGATACGGCGTTTGTCCCACCAGGCACGCGGGCCCACGCGGTTTAGTCTTCTGTTGGAACAGACAGGGCATGCCAAGAAGAAGTTGTGCAAGGAGAGAAATAACGGAAGGAAGAGAGAAAATGGAGTCGCCCAGAGGAGAGAGGCCCCAACCAGGAGCTCTGGCTAAACCGATCAGCGGAGCTGGTCGGCCGCGAGCCCACAGAGCTAACGGGGGCACATAAGAAAAAATTGAGTACACTGAAAAGAATTTGAAAGAAAGGGCGTAAATAATATAAGCAAGCTAAATAAGATATGAGGATCTATATTGCAAAATACGAGACAGTAACCGATGAGTGCGGGGCCCTCGCGTGAACGGCTCGCCTCATGCCTTCTGATGTATATCAGTAGAATGATCCGTTTATTTCTTCTCCTTCATTGTAAAACTCCAAGTGGAACAATATGCTCATTGTTAGTCCTCCTACGACTCTTCTCAGGCGAGCAGCGGAAGACAGTATCAGGTACAGCCCCCCCTCTGCTCTCCTCTCCGACCCCCAGGGCCTTAGGCCTATAGAAAGGCGCTTGAATGTAATCTGGTATATTTTAAAAGCTGCGTGAGCCTAAGAGCGTCTTATATCCGGGCAAAACACAGAATAGGGGTAAGAGCCTTTCTTGCCATTATCCCAACTAGTTCAGCCCTAGGGACCTCAGGCAGAAAGTACGAATACATGCGTTCACAGAAATATCGAAGGGCTTGTGCTCTCGTTCACAAAAGAAGCCGCAGAACCCCATCTTCATTCGTCACAACAACCATTAAAGAGGAACATAGATGGATTACCGAGTGTTTTATTTCTGTGTTGCTCGCTTCCCTTTTCTCACATGGCACGGTGTGCAGGTGGCTAGATTTTGTGACCCGTATAGAGACTGGTGCACTGTTTTCAAGAGTGTCGTAGCCACATACCGTGCGCCCTTGCCATGCTTCTAGCAACACAGGCGCAAAAAGAAGCGTGCGTCAGCAGTGTTCCAAGTAGGAATACATATCCTGGTTCTTTACTACTCAGTCTCTTTAGCGGTTTTTGTTTCCTCCTACCCCTGTTTAGATGCTCTGGCGATTTTCGTCACTCTTCTTTCCCTTTTTGCATTTATCCTTTGTGCTGCGCCTCATAGGAGGAGGAGGAGGGGGATGGCCAGAAAGTGGCAAGCGAGGCTACACATTAGCACTTTCTACAACACCAGTTATATTTAGCTGCAAGTCAGTAGAAAACTCACCAATCGGGTTGCCTGTATATCTTACCTATTTCAGAAATACTGTCAGTTTGATGCAAGAAAGTACAATGTCTGCGTGTTCCCTATATGCTGTGTGAAGCTAGCGGTGAACGCTTAGGGTTACTAGAGGGTTCAACAACGCGCACCCTAGCTGTCCCTCTTTACTCATGCCGAGAAATCTGAAGGGCGCAGGAAGGGTAAGGCCAAAATTCTTTCAAGAAGCACTCAGTAACTCCTTACTATGTTAGTAGTGAGTCTGCATTCAAATGTCTTCCGATGGCGACTTTACATGGAGCGTTATAGCTAAAAGCACCGCACGGTTCAAAATCACTTGTTCCCCCCTCACTCACTGGCTGTTGATGCAGTGCAGCATCAGGCGTTCTAGGTCTTCCTGCAACCGCTGTACATACTTGGCAATTTAAGGATTTGAAGTTTCTGAATGCCAGGGTGAACAATCTGTCTGCCGATGGAAGCTAATAGCGACAACTCTTGTTGAGTTGCCAGATGACGTCTTGCAAGCCAATGCGAAAGCAGCAACACCACAGCTTGTAAAGATGCATGAATTTTGGCCAGTGAAACTTTCATGGATGCCTTGATGAGGTTACACGGATCCGAAACAGATGGCGGCCGTATAAATGGTTAAATACTCAAGGAATTTGTGAGCAGGCTAAATGGGCACCACCTTTTTGCCTCGATATTGGCAAAAGAGATTGCTGCTTGCGGCGTGTTTATTGCAAAGAAATGTAGTTTTATCGTGTCGATATTCGTGTTAACGAACAATCTGCCTGCATGTATAACATCAGTTCCTGCCTTAATAAATGTCCTTGCTCATCGGTTAATGCCGAGATCAGCTGGAAAGCAAGCTCTGGTAGTAGTACGATGAGTTTAGCAGGGGGCTCTATCATTAAATGATTCACTGAGAAGTACAAGACTTTGGTCAGCAAAAATCACGATGCAAACAAGCAGGTGCTTCATCAGCAATTTATCTTAGGTGTACCGGAAATGTAATGTCAGGTAGCCGCAGGCAGGGCAGCGACTCAGCGATTAAAGAACCAACAAGCAACGATTCCACAAGTGCCGTGCAAGCTAGGAATTTTAGATTGTATAAGCACAAGCTCGGTGTTCTAGCCACAAGAAAGCGCCAAAGTGGGATGTGTGGCCAGTGTATGTTGGTCTGTGTCAACTGGCCCTAGCCTACAGTTTAATGATATTGAGGACGGCCTATTGCGGCTGCAGATACAGCGAGGAATTCATAATAATTGTACATTTCGATTTTGTTCCGTGTTGCTGTTTCGGGCAAATCACTCCATGTTCTTCGGGCCATTGTGATTTTCACACAATAGTGGAAAGCACTTACACTTCGTTTGGCGACCAGGAATGAGCCCCGCGGCAGAAAAGCATGCTCTTTCATGCCTAGATTGTCAGTAACTGAAGCCTCGTAGGTCCATTAACTGGCCTTTTGCAAATCCTTCCAGTTTTTGAAGAAGTTTGGACTAATTTGACCATGAACCTACTTGTTGGACTGCCTGAGGTCAATGGTCAGGATATCACTTACGTCTTTTTTAACAAACCCAAAATATATGTCATTTTTATCCCTCGCCCCAGCTCTGTCACGGCTCACGAAGTTGTTCAATTTTTCTTAGATCGTAGCTGGAAGCCTTACTGATTCCCCTGGAATATCATCACGCATGACAGTCTGAATTTTGTGATTGCGTTCTGGCGTGCCTTTATGGCCCTTCCACACGTTAATAACATTATCGCCATTGCGACGCACGCTGAAGCAGATGTAAACAGCGTACCACTCGCACTTTTCAGTAGTATTTGTCAATCTCTGGTCACAAAAACCGCATTGTTTGGCTAGTGTATGCTCTTTTGCTGAGTGTGTTTATAATACGGCAATGCAACTCTTCACCCCTTGCACTCCTGCCTCCCGGATCTTGGCTGAGGAGGCCCTCTCTGTTTCAGATATGGACCTATTGAGCCGGGGAGAGCAGCCACCTCCAGAAGTGGAGGGATTCAGAGGGTAGCTGTTCAACGCAGGCGAATCTACGCAAAAAGCTTAAAAGACACAAGCACGGAAATATGATTAGCGGGAGTCAGCTGCGTATCTCAGGGCTGACATTTTGGTTATGTTAAATAGCCAAAGTCTATGAGCGATACTAGAAGACGACCACTTCAAGAGGCTTGCGACCAGGTTGCTACAGTGACTCGCCATTCGCGTACGAATAAATGCCCCTCCATAATGTATCGATTTTTCTTAAACCGTAAATGCCAAGGCACTCTCAGTATTGGCTTCCTCATGAGCTTCAACTTAACTTGCCTATTCGCGAACTAAGCTGCGCCTGCAGGTGGCCCATGGGGAGGCGAGGGATCCACAGGGGGCCGCAATACTATCGGGTTCGTAGGAGTTTTGAGCGCTGATGAGATCCTAGACGGGAGCTTCTCATGAATTGAGGCAGGGAAATCTCAGTGGTTGAAAGAGGAGCACTTGTAGGCTACGTAGGCCGCATGAAAATGGGGGTCTGTCAGGTGCATTATTTCAGTCTCCATGAAAGGCATTTTTCGCGTCACTTAGTAAATGGACTGTTCCAGCTGATGTTCTGCCTCAAATAGCTACATCCATTTTTGGAAACTGCTTAATGCACTCCCGGTCAATACTGTGAAGGTCTCTGGATTAAGGTTCGATCTCATTCACTCCTAGGTGTGTTGCCTCCCCATTCGCCTTAGGCCTTTTCTTCAGGCTTTGGAGTGGACTGTGTGCATGCACCGGCTGTACTACCACGCAACAATTGATCTAAGAGATGCGCAGGCACTGGTGAGCTAGTTCTATTAGGATTTACTGTACGTCTTTTATTCGCTGTTTGTTTGTCGTAGCAGGAGGCTTACAAACTTCAGCGCATCGATGACAGCAAGCCATTGCAATGTTTTGGTCTTGTCGGCTAAGTCCCTCACTCGTTGTCGGCTACTGCGTCTGGCTGCCTTCCTGTCTTTTTCACTCTGGGCGGCAATGCACCCATGTTTTCGCCAAGTTTCATTATTTTTGCCTTTCTACTGGCCTGGCGAGTTGCAATTGTTCAGCAACTCTTCGGCCGTCCTCCACGCAGTTTGCCTCGACGGGCAGGAGCGGAACATGCGGCCGTGTGCCTTAAAATGAGGGAGATGTAGCACGCAAAGCTCATTCAAGCACTGTCTGCTACAGCAGTTCTAGTTGACTTGGAATTTGCGAAGATTTGATTAACTGTGTTGTCTGCTGTATCTTCTTTACCCCAGTGTGTTGGGGGGCTCGATAGAAGAAGACGCAATATTATGTGCATGTGCGCTAGATGCTCCGTGCTTCTAGCTGTCAATGCTCAGAGTGCTTGGCAGCTGAAGCTACGCACACCCAAGCTGGCCCGCTGCCCTCGTATCGGAAGGGCATAGGGGCGTGGCCACGGACCGGCGGTAGCCTTTTCGGTAAACACTCAATAACCTAGTAGGCCTGTTCTGTGTCAGGACTCAAGTGTCCCTATAACTTGACTTCGGTGCAGCGCTATACCTCCGATGCTTGTGCCGCACTATAGCAAGCTCACACCGGAGCAAAGAGGCTTAATTCATTTTTTGCAGTCCCACGGTCTGTTCCTCCGTATCCCGAGTATCAGGCCGTCCCTTCCCCCAGCGCAACAACGCATTCCAGAAATGGACTGCCGTGGATTTCCCTGTATGCGCCATACCAATAACCATTAAGTCACTGCAGCAGCGCCCAGACCGATCTTTCGTTCATCGCTCCGTTTTCAGTACTGGTGTACGTGCGTCATTGTCCATTGGCTTTCTTAGCTCTTAATGTATGCATTTCTACATGCTTCATAGGAATAGTACTTACAACCGCATTAAAATACCTACTTTTGCCCCTACTGCTGCGGGTTCAACGCCGCGTCCTATTGCAATGGCGTCAGTAGCTCCCTTTACTCTTGTTATTTTTTTAGCCCATGTCAAAAACCCTGGTCTACCCTGGCGCCATAGCCCTCTACACAACAGCTGTAGTGGCAAAACCTCATCGACGAGCATAGCTTGTGTGACAAGCATGCCTGTTCCTTCGTCCCTCCATCTAACTATCTACTGCCCGAGAATCGAGGGGCAGCGCCGCCACAGCGAACTGCACAAGTAGGCGGTGGCTTGCTTGTTTGCTAACGTCTTACCATGTACCAATGAGAAGCAATGGCCTTTTAGAACAACGCGCGCCAGGCAGCCAGTATTCACGCAGAAAATTGAAAATCAGCACAGGCAGAAACTGTTACAAAACGGACAGGCAAGGGCAGAGAGCCGTGTAAAAGGATTGCCACAGAAGGAGAAGCCGTAGACGAAAAAGCAGAAATTAAGGGGACTTACAGGATATCGCCTATTTAGGCATTAAAGGGAGAAGGGGTCAACAGCATTAGAGAAAGATAGATACTTTCATGAGGGACACAAAATTACCAAAACAGGGGGCCACGCGAGCTTGTTGATCTCTCAGCCACTTTCCCCTTGTTCCGCTTACTCCTTTAAGCCCCTCCCTCATTGCCTCCCTCTGTCCCTTCTACATGTAGGCATCTGTATGTCGTTCGCTCTCCCTTGCTACCGTTTTGTGTCTCATTCCGTCCTCGTTGCAGGCAAAGCTCTTCCTCTGTGCCCTCATTTCCACCAAATGCCTGCTACGCTTGTTTAAGACGACGGGTGTTCTTCATGGATCTTTGCGTACATTGCGGCGATTTCATCAGCAAATACCTACGACAAGGCAGCAAAGACACGAACATCAATCCGTTGAGACCACCCTCAGCCCAACAACGGGTTTGTGCGCAGTCCTATACACATGAACTCTATATATATGCAGCTTCTGAGACCACGCCATGCAGCAAGACCCGTTCGACAGACGAAAGCACATCAGGTGTGCTTGTACATGCGGATGAGTACTATGCATACAGCACGCATTCTCACAGCAGCTACTAACAACAGACGGGCAGCGCTGTTGTTAATCTGCGTGGAGGTCCCTACGCCATGTCAGGAAGTACAGAGGAAAACTGACACAACATCCTTAAAGCCCCCAGGGTCCCCATATGGAAAAATCATACGTTTGCTGAATTTTATGGAAGCACTAGGAAGGGGATTTCAGAGGATGAACCCAACTAACTCTGCGTATTCCCTGTCTGGCGCCCTGTGCTACCCCAGCAAATCTTAGTGGCAGGATAAACAAGAATGCAATAAAACAAGTCTTATGGTTAACGACGTTTATGCTGCACGAAGCAAGTTGTTGCAATCCGTGAATCCCCTGGGGTCGTACCTCCTTGGCATAGTGCCGTTTGAGCTTGAAGGTTGGCGTGAGGAGTCCATTCTCCACAGTGAACTGCTCCGCCCGTAGGTGGATTTTCCTGGCGAGCTCAAATCCCTTGAGACCCTGTTTCTTTCCCACCTGTTGCATGTCCTCATATATAGCCTGCTGCAGCTGGGAGTCCTGAATCAGCTCAGCGAAAGGCTGACAACCAGTGGATGCGGAGGAAGACCCCCGGGTTTCTGCCAGCCACTTCAGCGTCTGCCCCTGGTCCGGCACAACAATGGCTACAAGCGAGTTCTGCAGCGAAAACAGAGGTAACGAGAGAGTAGAGATGGCGAAACACGCAAGGGAACGTGAAACCCGTTGTCGAACCACTAAGGGGCTAGATATGACGAGAAGCGACATTTCTAAACTCTGAATACGGATAAGTACACATGAGAATTTTAACCTTCAGCATAATCAGAGTCGAAAGCAACAAACGTGCACGGAAGGAAACAAAAGGGAGGGAGCTTGGTGGCGCACAAAGCAAAGATACAATAACAGCCGTCTCGTAACCACTTAATGTCCTAGTTATATATTTATTTTGCTGTCCAGATGAACGGTCACAGCCAAGATACAGCATGAGCCTATATATATTGTATAAACATATGCACAAATACAGCCAAACGTGCTGTCGGGATGGGGTGACTAGAGGACCCGTTAGATTGGGGGCAGCGCTACGTACCTCTGAGGAGAACCCAAAAACAAAACACTGCTCAACAAATCGACTCTGCATGTACACCGCCTCTATTTTCTCAGGCGCCACGTACTCGCCCTACACCGAAATTCAGAAAAGCACAGATGGAATACACCCGCTGTTCACACACCCGACTACAGATGAAACCTGCAACCTCATCATGGACACGTAAAAATTAGTGTTTTTGCCTCCAAATGGAGAGAAGCGAAAAAGGCCAAAATCCATCAAAGGAGGTTGAAGAGAGAGATACAGCACAAAAAATACCAAGAGTCATCAGCCCCCAGAATTCTTCAGCTGTATATCTAGCGATCCCGAGCGTCCAGCCCGAGGGCTCTATGTGGTCATTGCTACACAGAGACCAACAAAACGCAACAAAACTTGATTGTACGCCGATGCACCATGTGGCCCTGAACTGTGAAACGTACCTGTGCAAGCTTGAATATGTTTTTCTTCCTATCGATTATCTGAATGCCACCATTTGGGAGTAGCGCGACAATGTCTCCAGTATGCAGCCACCCATCTTGGTCGATTGCTGCTGCTGTTTCTGTGGGATTTCGGAAGTATCCACTAGAGACAGTAGGACCCCTTACACAAAGCTCGCCCTTGGGGATAGGGTCCTTGATAGAATATTTCCCCATAGATTCGCTGACGTCAAGCAGGCAGAACTCCAAACATGGCAACACGCCACCTACTTGCCCAGGGTGCCTATCGTACACATTCCACGTCAAGAAGGATGCGCCCATCGTCTCTGTCATCCCATAACCCTGAAAAAAAGTTCGCACCCCATATACCCACCCTAAGTCAAAATTTTAAGGAACTCCACAGAATCAAATACATGTACATCGCTATGAAGCTACAACAGTGCCACTGCGCCCACGCAACCAGTCATATCTGCACCTATCTAAACAGACAGGCAGCAATTCATACACACATATACCAGCCAAATGACACAGAATGGCCTTCTCTGATTGCATTTACAGGTAGTGTAAGTGGAAAACTCCAGGCCCTAACCTCAACAATCCAGCAGCAGAAGAAGGCGCGCATCCTCTCCAGAATGTAGGGATCTAATGGGGCCGACCCCGTCAACATAATTCGGACTCTGCCCCCCATCAAGCCACGGAACTTGTCAAATACTATCTACAGGAAGAGAGACACAGCAGCTAGCAAAAGAAATGAAGTGCCATGAGACCAGAAGGGCGGACGCAGAGAAACAAGCCTCAACAGGACAAAAGGGGAAGCGGCAGCCACAAGTGGCAGCGAAGCGGAGGTGCGAGTGCTACCCTCAAGGCTCTACAAATGCCAAAAAATAGTCCCATTCGCTTGCACACCGTACCCTGTCCCATAATGCATGCTGAGGAACACCAGAAGAACGAAGCCGCCGGATCTTCGCTCCCAATGCTGCAGTGCAGACAATGCACATTCAGAGCCTTCGCTTTCAACAGGCAAATGGAAATACACGGATTCAGCTAATAGCAAAACCACGGGAAAGACGCACAGGTTGGTGGAAACACACGTAGAACGCATTAACAAGAAGGTTTAAATATACCCAGAGGAAAAGCGGAGTGACAGCAAGAGAAAGCAACACAGATGAGACGAGTCGCCAGAGTATTACAAGCAGAGCAAGGCGAAACAAAAGCACGCCACAGGGGGTAGAGACTTGCTCTCCGCTGCCTACAGGAAGGTGCACGATAGTAGGAGAAACAAGCTGAACGCCACCTAACGGTGCAAATGCACCACAAGTATGCCTTCAGGAAATCATGGTGGGCTGTGGGGGGCCTTGAGTGCAGAGGTGGCAGCCTAGGATGCATGCCGTGTGAAGATAAGGAAGATAAAGGGAAGCATGGGGGAAACAATAGAGTCAGATGAGCCACATCTATGAAAAGTACCCTGCTGGAAGAGCGAACGAGCAAGGAAGGATTTGCCCTGGAGACTGCTGATGACTCGGTCCTCGATGCGTTGAAACAGACGTGGGACGCTGCGAGGCAGCAGCGGGAAGAAGGAAAACCGATTGTCAACGTTATTCACATTAAGCCCCTGGACCGCGTGGCAGGGAGGGAAGGAGGCGGGTTGTCGTTATCACATGAAAAGCGTGAGAAGACAGAGGCGCATGCACCAAAATGAAGCCGTGAGACACGTTATGGGTCCAGCAGACGGATACGTCTTAAGCTCACAGATCAGCTTCAAAGGATGCAGAAATTCCTACCATCAGAGGTACAGCCAGTAATGAAACATGCTGCTCGTGGCTGTAAGAATGAGACGAGGCATGTACGCAGCAGGACCCCCAGAAACTAATGGAGACCACGTGGAAGCGGCACGCAGGCATGGAACCTCACCTGCAGAAGACTGTCGGCTTCAACACTTGCACGTCCTCCAGCAGTTTGTGGGTGTCCTGGAGAGCGCAGCAACAAGGATATCAGCGTTCGTACGGTTGATGCGGCGCCACTGTAGAGCTCTCATGCTGGCTGGAATGCAGTTACTGATCGGTCCAAAGCATCACTATGAGTAAAGCAATGCGGCCCCCGAAGCCCTCTGCTGTGTCTAGCCGTTAGCTTCGCCAAAGCCAGCCTCCTCTTAAAACAAGGCATCTTGTGAAAGAAGGAAGACTTCCGCGTCGCTAAATACTCAGCACCCAAGAAAGCCTATATCAGGCCTGAGAAGCACTGGAATGCAGGAAGGACGCCACGCGACGGCGACAGGCGAGGAATGAGGGAAAGGGGCAGACGCAGAGTCAGAGGACGTGCAGGTTGACCAGTAGATACACACGCAGACTCACAGGACAGAAAGCGAGCATACGGAGCGACAGCGGGCTAAGCTCACAGAGAAGTATACAAAAGGAAAAGAAGATGAACAGGCAGACAACCTACTCTTAGACTGACAAGCGTCGAGGCAGCAATCGATGCAAAGAAAGTGGGTTTGTAAGATAGCTTACTCCTGAGTAGAATCCGACTCTGCCTCCGTAGCTGAAAAAGAGATTTTCGCAGAATCGCTCGTAGACGTGGGCCAACGGCAAATATGAGATTAGGCAATCACTCGAGTCAAGGTAGAGGTTGCGCTCGCTCAGAGCTGCAGCATACAATACAAGCGACAGCACAGCACAAAAGAACAGAGCCAAAAGATGGGAAAGGGCTGTAAGGGGAAGGTAATCCCACCTCATTTTGCCGAGTTGTTTTTCCTGAAATAAAGTAAGCTGAATAGGCAGGGAATAGAGAATTCGAAAAGGATGGTGGAAGCGCGAAGGAATTCAGTTGACATCGAAAACGCAAAAGCAAAAAACTTGTGAGGAAACAGATAAACGCACGGCCTTCCACAGCAGTGGACACTGCAGCCACAAAGTTCCCGTGAGTCATCATGACGCCCTTGGGGTTGCCAGTAGTCCCTAGAGAAGAAGGCAAGCAAGGCAGCACAAAAAAACACATACCAACAAAACAAACGTGCGAGGAATCAAGTAAATGGGCGGGCAACGGCAATGGGACTTTCATGCAGCCACATCCAGGTAAGGGAACTGAAAATAAAGACAGGCTTTTGTGAAAACTACGGTGGTACAATTAAGTGCAGCAGAGATTCCTGAACTGTATGGTGCGCTGCGTTAAGAGCAAAGCTGTCAACAGGGCCTCAAGCACCGATACCTGAAGTGTAGCATATGGTGTGCAGCGACTCCATCGTGGGCTGCACGTCATCTGTCAGGGGAATCATGTTTTCCCTCCCCTAAACAAAGAAAAATAGAGAGTGGTACACAGAAGGACAGACAGGCACACTGAGAAGGGAGACATGGGTGGGCAGAGAGAGATACGCACAGGTCGATCGAGATTTACACAGAAACAGAGAAATAAGGACACGGAGTCCACGATGACAATAAATTACCATTCACATCCATGATTTTTTTGTAAGGCACATAAGCCGGAAACGGGTAGGAGATAGCGTGGAACATGCTGGGTACGTACCATTTCTAGAAGTTTATTCCATGGTAGCAATTGCAAATGGAGCGAGTTGGCGGTTTCTTTCTCAGTATCTGAGATGTCGTCTAGCGTGATGACGACCTTCACCGGAAGGGGTTCACGGGATCCGTCTTTGTTTGTTTCTTGTGATTGATGCTGCTGCAAGGCATCAAGCAACTTTGGAAGACAATTCCCGTCGCTGACAACGGTCTTCATTTGTGTCTCTGAAAGAATAAATTGCGTGCTGTGAGAGCCCAATGTGTCATACAAGGGCACCGCGGTGATGCCAAATGCATTGCCTACGAACATGAGCACGCAGATGTCACTCGGAAGAACGCAAAAGATAGTAGCGCAGTGGAGAGAACCAAAGAAAGTTTAGCTGCAAATATACATATAGATATGCATGTGCGCATGTGGCTTATGTGCGGTGATTGGGCTATCAAGTTAAGATACATTCACACAGCACCAGAAAAGCAGTCTAAGAGGATATAAGTGTGGCATCCCCACAAGCCCTGAGGCGGTAGAGAAAGACCCCGAGAACGTAGGCGAAAAGTGAGTGGTCTTTCATGCGTCTCAGTAGCTATAGGAATAGAGATTTGTAAAAGACATGTATCGGCTATACGATGAGGCGCATGCTTCTTCTCATGGATAAAAGCTGACACATGCGCACTTGTGATTGGGTGAAAGCACACCCGATATTGGACTATACGCAAAAGACGGCCGAGCCATACGGAAACAAAAAGAGAATTCGGAAAGGGGGAAGTTCGGAAGAATGAGGGCAAACAAGCACAAGGGGTGTAGCGTATGCAATAGAAGCAAGAAACAAGATACGGCTTACAGGCATGCTCCGTAATAATCCACTCTTCCCTGTTCTTGGCGAAGATGCCAATACATCGCAAACTTAAGGGGCTATCCGAGCCGCTATCGAAGCAACAAAGAGGCACCAGATCGCCGTTCAATAGGCCGCTACCAGCTTCCAAAGCCAGGCGTTCCACCTGAAGATACATTCCATGCAAAATGGGGTGCAAACCACAAACCCTTAAGCGAAAAGAGGTTGCAAAAGGCCTATAACTCGAAGCGCTAAGGGCACAATGAGCGGATACACGGACAGTACAGCTTCCGGGGAGGCTGCAGAGATAACGGCAAACTCCCAACTGCCATAGCGGCACGGAGCAGAGGCAATCAGAATAGCACAGAAGCGACAAAGCACATAGAGGGCAACCCAGGATAAACAGAAAGGAAAGAGCCTGGCTAAGGGAGCCAGAGAGACGAACCTCTCTATACGTCTTCCACACGTAAGCTCCCCTCTTCCCATCTGGTAGTCTCTGCCGAGTGCCCAAACATGGGCCTTCTGGCGCCTTTCCAACTCCCATCTGGAACAACTCCCACCTGCATTCACAAACAACTCAAAGGCTCAAGTGTAGAAACGTAGCAATGCGAGATGCGCGTCAAGTATTGAGGAGATGCAAAAATATTGCAGCTCCGAACTCATAGCCAGTAGTACCAAAGGCAAGCCTGGAAGCCCCCTCGACTACTCATTACTGCTGGATCTAATATGCTCTTGAACAGCAAACGCTAGCATATATCGGTCCCTAGGTCCTATAGGTAGACCGCGCCAACCAGCGTCCTCCTCGATAGAGAACAACAATTCAACGGCACCTATCCAAAGCTAGAAGCCCTGGCCTCGAAGCCGCGCTAAGGGCATTAGGATGAAAGAGAGAGTAGCAGCAGCAGTCCCTGATTTATGTTTCTGGTAGGTTATGATGCTCATTTACATGCAAGCCCGAGGTCTCTTATTTGGCAAGTGTACAGTAACAAGTGACGCTAATCCGTGAACAGGACAAGGATAGCTGTTTCTGCTGCTCCTCCGTGTTCTGCCTGTGCATGATGCTACAGATACCCCGGTATTTGTTCGTCACTTACGCATTTTTGACGGGATTGGACGAAAAATTGTCTGCCAAGCGGTCCGTACAAGAATAGTGGCGTCGCACTGCGGTGCGGTCAGCTGTACGAGCAACTCAATGCAACGGCAGTAACCGAAGATAGCAACACCTAAACCGACGAGGAGCCAATCTTGGCGGGCAATATAAAATGATGAGATGGGCAAACAGTAAACGTAGAGCTAGCTGGCTGAGGGCCGCTTTGTGAGCCCATGGGTGCGTAGGGGCCGAATACTCGCAAGGCCCGAAAGAAGCACCGCACATGCGATTCCCCAAGAGATCGAAACAACGCATAGACGGAAAGCTGCGATAGGGAGCCATGAAAAGAGGGGGAAGTAGAGGGTCTCAGAAACGTCGTGGTGATGGCATGCACAGACGAGTGCCCTCAAGACTCCTGTACATCCTCCCAAGCTTTTAAACTTGATCCTACCCGTTGCCTCTGATCCTGGGACAACAACAGAATACTGTATGTCATCAAAAGAAGAGACGGTAGCCCCCATCTCCGTCGCGCTTGCTTGTTCGGGATTCTGAGTGTCCTGCGGCGATATGTGAAGCTCAGAATACAACAGGTGCGACTCCTAAGGAGCTTAGTCAGAACGTATCCAGCTTTGGCGCGCGTTTTCCCTAGAGTTTCGTAGGGGGAAGACCAATGCCAACAATACCAGGCCCTTCTACGTTGTGCGTGCACAGCCGTTCCCCTGGGTGACTGTGCTGCTGAGCATCGAAAAGCAGCGCAAAGCAGGGGAAAGCAGGGGAAAGCAGGGGATACACAGGCGTATAAGAGACGGCGGAATTGCAAGTCAAGGGAAAAGCAGAAGAAACGGGGAAAAAGCTATGCCTGCACTAGCGTATAGCGGGCGGCCTATCTGAATTTACACCAGAAACAAAAGAGTGGTCCCACGCAAAGCAAGAGTGAGAGGAAGCATATGAAGACAAACCTGCATCATTCATAAGCCATAACTAGCAAATATCCCAAAGAAGGAATACTAGACAGACTGCACTCGCCCTCTATTTGGGGCTCCCTGTTCAAACACAGGTTGGGACTGTTTATTTCCGCTCTTCAGCTGTGTGTAGTCCCTCACACACTGTGTGTTACTCCATAATGCAAATGAACAGTGTTCAACTAATTTTATGCTTCCAACTTCTCCTTACCTGTGCAGCAGAAGCCAGCACATTCAGGGCGGGGGGGCCTTCCAGGGATGTGCTCGCTTCGTGGGCATGAGGAGCACGACAGACTGATGTAGCACATTTTGATCAACAGCATATTGCTACCCATTCGAATGAGAACAAATCATAACAATGGAGATGCTCTTGTTCGTGCATGAATCCGTGGGGGCGAGGCGTGCAGATTAACATGCAGTACCGACAAGAAAAATGCGGAAGGAAACGAGGCACAAATGCACCACCACGAAATTTGCTCACTTACAGCGAACTAGGTGTGTACGGTACAAGACAGATTTTAGGTGTGATGCCAACAGACACCCGACTGTACTACCAGAGTGCACCTTTCTTGGGTTTGGGGACTTCGGCTTCTGGCGTAGAGTTTTGTATGAGGAGTTCGTGGTTTTGTAGGCGTGGCTTTAACGGTAGCGCCCGCAGGCTGGTGCTGCATTTTAGCTTGTCACCCCTGTTCAAATTAGTGCGGGTAGCAGTTTGGCTCACTCCAAATTCATTACAAACTTGATACAAAGGTGGTGAGTCTGTGAGGAAATTAACGGCCTTTCCTTTCCCGCGTCCTTCAAGTTTCGCGACACGAACGAAGAGGGACAGCTAGGGTGCGCGCAGCTGCACCCCCTTAAAACTCACAGCTAGTTGAACATAGCAACTAATGCCAGGGCAGACAAAAATGCGTCTTAAATCTACTGAGCTAACAGTACTCTACATTAGGTAAGATATACGAACAGGCAAACCAATTGGTGAATTTTTCACTATTTCTCACCTGGGCACAACTAGTGTAGTGGAAAATGTTCAGGACTAGCTTAGTCCGCTACAGCCTCCGCTTCTGTTACAAGCACATACCCATGTGGTCTGCACCTGTGCGTCGATACCAAAACAATACACGACAAAGGGATATTCTTGCGTCACCGCCACCTCACATCGAGGCAGAAAAGCGAATAGCAGTGCGACTGCCAAAAATTCGGCATCAACTGATGAAGAGTAATCAGAGGGGGGAAACGTACAAATACTGGCCAGGAACTAATGAGGGACCGAGCAAACATAACCAAAATGATGCCTTGGCTCACTACCGTTAAAAATAGGGAGCCAGCAACGTTACACTTTGGACACCTTTCGCACACAAGCTTTATTCCACAAATTAAGTTAAAAAATGACCAATTGGTTTGCCTCTTCGTATATCTTATTCATTGCAGAGTACTGTTAGCTTAATAGAAGAAGGCGAAATGTGTGCGTGCGCCTTACTTTCTCTGTGCAGCTAGCTCTGACTGCAATGACGGTACAGCCAAGACCACCCTAGCTGTCCGCCTCCCCTGATGTCAGGAACTCTAAGGGGCGCAGGTAGGGAATAGCAGGAGTGCTTTTCGAGATATATAAATTACTCTTCATTAGGTTTGTACTGAGTCTGGAGTGATGTTTCTCCTTACAGAGACCTAAGATGGAGCTTTTCAGCCAACAGCACCGTATGGCTCGATGCAGTTTTTCCCCTCTCATCCACTGACTGAGGATGTAGCACATGTCAGGTTAACCTGGAACAGCTGTCTGGTTTTAACCGATTGACCCGGTGATTTAGTATTCTGCTTTTTCTTGGCAACATTCTGAAAGGGAAAAAGCACTTTGACGATGGAAGTTGACGATGAAGCCACACCTACTAGAGCGGCAGATGCCGGGCTGCAAAGCTGATGCAAGCGCAACAGTCGCATAGCTGGAAGAAGGGCACGACTTTCCATCCGGTAAAATGTTACGGACGCATCGCTGATGTCATGCAGACCAGAATAATCTGGCGGCCGTAAGGATGGGCAAGTACTTGAGGTACTCATCTGCGGGTTGGACACGTTCGTGGCTTTGTGCCCCTAGAACGAGGACTATTGATGAGTGCGGCATGCTTACTGAGGGAGAAGTACTTCACTGGAGGCTACCTTCGCATTAAAGTGGCCATTTACCTGCAGAAATCACTACAATAAGCCGAAATCACTACAGTTCAAGCCTTCAAAAACCAATGAGTCGTCGGTTGATGAGGAATTCAGGAGTTTAGCAGTGGAATCTCTGAATAGATGGATGTAACAAAAACTACGAAGCCTTGGGTTCTCAAGGCTGAATTTATAGCGTCAACAAACACCTGCTCGATCAGGTTTTTGTATTAGGTCTACCGGAAGTGTCACGTCAGGTGGCTGCAGGCAGGGCAGCCACTCAGCATTCAAAGAGCCAACCAGTGAGGCGTTCCCACATGTATTACTCGAGTATACAGAAGAAAGCAAATGCAACTCTTGCCTCCCTTGCAGACAAGAAAGAACCAACTATAGATTTAGAACCGTTTGCACGTCGGAGATCAGCCGATCGTCTCTAGCCTATAGTCTAATGTGAGCCAGAAGTGAAAGCTGAAGGGAAGCGTGGTCTTGAGCATCCTCAGACAGCTTCCCACGCAAGCACTTGATTGTGGGAAATAAGCCATGTAATCCAGAACTGCAAGCTCATGCAAAATACCGCAGAGCTTGTCCATTCGGACAGGGTCCAGCAGAAGCAGGCTGGTTGGTGAACACAGAATCTTCATCAGGGAACCACAAGCTCCTACGGAAACTACGACGCAATGAAGTGGGCTACAGAATAACGAAACGCAGTTAAATACCCACCACAGGAAAATCCCGTATTTTTCGAAGCTCACATTGTTGGTCAAGGACTACTGAAGCCACTTGACATTGGGTGCGGAGTGGATATGCTATCCGAGGAGACGATGCAGAAGCGCAGTCTACCCTTAAACTCGTTAGTGCAGTCCCCAAGATGCACGTTTACTGGCGGCCGGCAGAACGCAGGGAATGACAAGGCTTTGTCAGTATTTGTCCCTCTAAGTCAGAAATGGGCTGTATTAGCATGGTCCGTGACTTCTAGGTTGGAGCCGTGCACCAAGATGTAATGCAAGGTGTACCATAGATGACCCTAAAAAGCATGCATGTGGCCACAGCTGCAAGTTGTGGAGGTTGGTGTATCATGCAGCGCAAAAGTGAATCAGTGCCTGGACACCTCAAATACGCTGAGTTCTTCTATGGTAGCGGGCTTAAGTGGTCCTCAATCTAGGAGGGGCCGAATCTCTAGGCAAGCAGCCAACCATGCAGGAAGAGAGGGCGATTCCAATCATCCACGGCGCCTTAATGGCTCTGAAACTGTCTCGCTACTGAATGATTATACTAAGCACTTAGTCAAGGAACAGTAGGAATAAACAAAAATTAGTGAAGCGTCCGCGGAGGCGCTGAATAATGACAAGCTGCCAGGAGGCTGGCCACCTTCTGGTCGCTCAGCGCGGCGTATCGAGCTAATGCTTCTGAGCCCCCAACGTTCCGCGCTTTCGCAGGTCCAACAGCATGAAGACAAAATTGTTCAACAAGCAAGAACCCTGATAAAGCAGGAAAAAAATACAGGAATCAACCACTGACTTTGGGCAAAACTAGTGTTGGTGCTGACAAACAACGGAAGGTGGCGCATGTGCGTCAGTTTTACGCCCGTTGACAAGATCACTGTAAAGCATAATCTCGCGATGTCTAATATTGCAGAAATAGCTCACAAAGTGCACGGATGAATACTCTACTCGAAATGACGAAAGTTCGCATGTAGTCTTAAGAATCCTCATTCGCCCTGATGGCAGGCACAAAACGACTTTCCACATTTACACTCGCGAACTCCAGTCTACGTGGATGCTCTTTGGACTTGTTTGAGCTCCACTGCAACGGCGAGTTGCTCGGGACATTTGTGAGCGTATGAAGGATAAACGGATGGCTGCCATCATGGACGATGCCGTAGCCTTCACCCAAAATGTTCAAGGGCACCTAAAGCGTGGTCTTCCAGTATTGCAAGGCAAGCAGTAGTATATGAGGACACGCAAGTGTTTGTTTATGGTGAGCGCAGCTATGGGTTGAAGGCTACGGGTTTCAAGCGCAGAACTTCAATGAAATCGGGGGAAAAAATCACACCACTCACTGCGTTGTCTCTAGCTTCCCACCCATGCACAAGCGTTGCAAAGTTCTGTGGCCTTGCTTCTTGATAACAAAATTTTACCCCTCAAATCGCTATCATCTCTGCTCCTAATCTACCGGAAAACGCACATTCAATGATCCCCACAGATGGTACTGCTGCCCCACAAAGCGCATTAAGCGGCCACCTCATCGCTCCTCCCCTTTTCGCGTTGCCCGACTATGAGTCATTTCTTCCTAACAAGAAATGCTAGGGGCTCATAGTATTTTCTCCGAACAGGCTACAGCTTCTTCAAAACATCGAAAGATTGCTTGCGATACCAGAATCAAGCAACGGCATCCTAGCACGTCGAAGGAATTTTGCTGTGTTCCAAGGCGTGCACAATGCCGGCACCACTTACATCGCATCATTCTCTTGTCGAGGTCGACTATGAGTCTTTACTGGAGCTTATGAAGAGCACTCAAGACTTTAAAAATCCCCGAGTTGTACGCTGGCTTAAGTGCATCCTACAAACGACTTTACAGTGAATTATTATAGGTCGTCACAAGTGATAGCCCACGCGCTGTCGCAACTCCCCAGAGGTTCACTATCATGCAGTGCAACCGCCCTTGTCTACAAGGACTGAAAATGTCCACCAATACTGTTTAAATCTTATGCTTTAAATACCCACGCATCCGCTACCGTTGCTAGAATCGAGAATGGCAAAAGGACGAAGCGCTACCATGGTGAGAGTGGCCAGCGAGCACTTCGTTGCGTAGATCTTCCAGCTTCACTCCGCACCGCAGTTTCGCGGAAAACAGACGACCGTGTTTTTCCGGGTCATCGTGTGACTCACACCATTGTTGATTGCTCTTCAGTTCTTATGGGCGTCCGGGAACAATGTCCCACGGCAGTAAAAGGTTTCGATGTCGTACCCAAATTGACAGCAGCAGAAACCCCCCATTTCTCGTAAGCCCAGCTATTTGCAACTCCTTCCGCTCCCTGAAAAAATCTGGACTGATTTGACAATGGACATTACTGTTGGACTACCGGAGGCAAAGGGTCAGGATAGCATCCGCGGCGTTTTCCACAGGCTAGGAGAACATATCCATCTTCATCGTTTGCTCCAGCGTTGTTACGGCTAGCGAAGTCGCTCAGCTGTTTTTAGCATCACAGCCAAAAAATTTTCGGATTATTTCAGACCATTATTGCGGATAGGGGTCCGAAATCTGTAAATGCTTTCTGGCGTGCCTTTCTGGCCAGTCTACACGTTGACAACAGTATAATCGTTTTAAATTCTGAGGAAGAGGGATACAGCACACCACCCACATTTTTCTGCAGTATTTGTGACCGTTTGCTCACAAAAATCCAAATGCTGAAAAAGAGTTTATTCCTTCTACTAAGTGGGCTATCAATACAAAAAAACACTGGTAGACACGTTTCTTTCCCTGAAATCCTAGCATGGAGACCGCCTCTAACTCAAGCCTGGACCTCGTGGCCTAGGCTCAGCAGCGACCTGTAGCAGCGGAGTAATTCAGAGGGCAGCTGGATCGCGCACACAAAACATGCTCACAGCTCAAAATAGACAGGCATGGAATCATGATAAGCGGCAGTTGACCCTGTTTTTAGAGCCTGAATATTTGGCCTTTGTAGATGGACAGGCTATGCGAGATGCACTGGAAGGCATCTACACGAAGCTGTTCGAGGCCAGGTGGCCTGAGCCACTAGCCCTCCGCTCAAAAATCAATGTTCTTTCTTACTATGGAGGTACCACAGCACTATCAACATTGGTATCATAAATAACCTTCGACCACCTCAAGTTATTCGCCTAATAAGGCGCGCCTGCAATCGGCCCACGGGGGGACCGTACAGTGCTGGATTTTTAGACTTTTGAACGCGGGGGGAAATAGAAGACGGAGGGTTTTGGCAAAATAAAGTAGAGAAAATTAATCTCAGTGGCTGAGGTAGTAGCATTTGCGAGTTCCATAGACTGAAGGAAAAAATGGTGGGTCTGTTTGACGCACAACGCTACTCACCATGTAAGATATTATTAGCGTTACTTGGTGTTTGTCCTTTCCCAGCTCTTGCTCTGCCTGAAATATCTGCATACATCTATTGGTATTGCTTAGAGCGTTCTCAGTCAATACGTATTCTCTACATCCAGATTTATTCGCATTTATTCTCAGGTACGTTGTCTCTACCTTGGTTTTTATGCCTCTTTCAAGCTTTGGGCTTTGGAGTGGACTATGCTGCACGCACTGGCTGTTCTCCCACCCCACAATTGCTATAAGAGGTGCGGAGGCACTGGTGAACTAGTTTGTATTTTGGTATGCTCTCCGTGTTTTACTTGATTTTTTTTACTGTGGCAGGATGTCACATATTTCTAATTTTGCGCTTCATCTAAGGCCTCTGTATGGAATCACCTCACAGCAGACTCGACAAACTTAAAACTTTCTTGAGTGCCTTATAAAAAGAACTTCCAGTGTGTCCTGTCCGCGCCTCCCATAGTTTGCGACGGGTGGGAAAGGGGCAGCTAGTGCGCACGTAGTTGCACCCTTCAAGCACTCCCAGCATTCTCAGCTAGTTGACCATAGCAACTAGGGCATAAAGTATACGAATAAACCAGCCAAACAGCCAACTCCTCACTAATTTTACATTGAACTGGAATGATGGAGCAGAAGGTAATTATTGTAGCTTACCATGAAGATATACACCTAGGTGTTCAGTACCTGTCCGTCGAGACCAATTGCATGCAGAATAGCGGAGGATCTTCGCCATAACGCCACCCCCCAGGCAGGAAGCAAGACGAAACCAAACCAAAGCAACTGAACAAGCCCATGCCTGCATCAACGCCTAGAGTGAAATAGATGATGGGGAAGAGACGCGCAGTAGCCAACAACGAACGAGAGACCAAGCCAAGACGACAACGGTGGCGCATCAGCTCGCCATAATCGACATGCTGAAGTTTGTCTGTAGGTGATCTTGAACTTTTCGGGTGAAGGCTAAGGCGTCGTCCATGCTGGCAGCCATCCATTTATCCTTTCTACGCTCATTAAAGTCCCGAGCAACTTGCCGTTGCAGTGGAGCTCAAACATGTTTGAACAGCATTCAGGTCGACTGGAGTTCGCGAGTGCGAATGTGGAACCTCGTTTTGTGCCTGCCATCAGGACGAATGAGGGTTCCTGAGAGTGCATTCGAAACCTCGTCATGTCAAGACTATCGAGAATTTCTGTTTCGCAGCGACCTTGTCCATGGGCGTGAAGCTGATGCACGTGCGCCACCTTCCGTTCTTTTTCGGCATCAACACCAGTTTATGCCCGAAGTGGCTGATTGCTGTGATTTTCCTGCTTTGAAAGAGCACCTGATTGCAAATCAATTTGGTCTTCATGCTTTTTAACCTGCGAACGCGCGGATTATTGCTGGAAGCTCAAAAGAAAGTAGTTCAATACAGTGAACTGAAGAACAAACAGCTGTCCAGCTTGCTGCTAGTTGGTCGTCTTTTATGCAGCACTGCGTCTAAGGTCATTGCAAGGAAGCGTTTGAATTCAGACTAAATATGAACGGACGAGCTACGGTTTTGCCCTGCCTGCATCCTTTCTTAGAGTGCTTGTAGAGGACTGGGTTCAGCAAGGGTGCGCCTTTCTGACCCCACTGCACATTCATAACTATTTGCGCAAAAAATCTAGTGCACATCCATAACAACATTGATCCTTCTTGTATGGATTCAGCGCTACTCTGCAAAAAGCGGTATACGGACAGCAAAAGCAACCAGTCAAGTTTTCACCAGACCTTAAACGTATTTCACCAGTGTGATCGTAAGTGCCCACGTGCAGTTATCTCGTTGCAACTTTGGGCTAGCTGTGTGGTACTGCTCCTAGGTGTGGAGATCCACTACGAAAGGACTTGTAAAATACTTGATGTAACGCTTTATTTGCTCTTCACAGTAGTCTGGCCAGGATCCACTGCCCCCTTTCCCCAATCCTTCGTTCTTGTCTTCAACGTAGAAATACCTTGGTCAGGGCAGGAAAGGGACAATCGTGAGGGAGGCACCTTCTAAATGGGACAAGCCCATGCATGCGTGTGCAGCCGCAAACAATAGAACGCAGGAACATAGCCCAGCAGCCGTAAGTGATAGTGCGATATAATTTAGCAAAATAAACAACAGTCTGAGGTTAAGTAACACTCGGATTTGGGTGTATCGTTTTGATTGCATCATAATCAGTTGCCAGTACTGACAGCAGCTGTACGAACACCGTAACCAATTGCAATTTTATGTGCACAATGCAAGCAATGAACCTGCATAACAAAGGGGCTTCCAAATCAATTCAATTTTTGGGCACTTCGATGCCTATTGGCAACGTGTGGCCTTGCAGGAGAAGTCACTCTGCAACCCTCTGAGCGTGCATGTACTAAGCGATGTGGCATGGAATGCTTCAGATAACTGGGTGCTTTGCAGTTATCTTTCCAACTCCTCGAGCTCTCCACCATCTGTAGCTCAAACTGCAAGTAGACGAAGTACCCTTTAATCGCTACAAACAAATCCTCCCTAGCACGATTTCAACACGAGGGCTATTAAAGTAAACCTCCGCAACTCACTTCAGCCGTACGGTTTGATATTCCAAACCCTAACAGTGAGGCCCCAATTATGGTGAACTGGAAGTGAGCAAGGAGGACGAGGTAACCTCAGCGTGCTGCCAAGAAACGATGTGCGGACCTCCACCAGTACAGTTGTGAGACAAGACACCTTGGACCTTTACTGGCCAGACACTTTACTGGGTTTTGTCCTTACTTTATTATTTGTCAACCATCGTTGCATTCTCAGACGCAATACCAGCTACTTGAATCTCCACGCGATTGCTTGTTGGGCAGGTTGCACAGCACAGGTAGGACTACCGATTCACCGTTAAAAGCAAGCCTTTAACAAACGCCCTCACAAATTCGGGGCACTTGGTTGGCAGTTTTCGGTTACAGCAGTGTCGATGAGGCAAGCCCAACGGAGTGTAAGTATAAGTTTTGGCCCTTATGACCACAGGGTTTGACACTACACTGCACTACGCCACCAAGCGCCGGCGCTTAGCTGACTTGATGAGCCCACCTGGAGCCCGTATTAGCTTGGTTTACTCCCAAACTGCCTCAATCCCTATCTACCCGTTGAAGCATTATTAGCAGTCACAGTACACGCGGGAGAGGGGAGGTGCAATATATAAAACAAAAAACCGACCGAGACTATCAGGGGTAAAACAGGTCCTTCTTCACTCATCAACCTTCTTCTCGTGCTTCTTCTTGGGTGGAATCAGTATTAGTGATTCATCTGGCCCGAGCACGTTCTCATCGGAGGGTTTAAGCCCAGTCCTCGCTTCGAACTGCATGCGCGCTAGTCTAGCATTGTGCAGCTTCTGCTTCTTTTTGTTCTGGCGGCGCATAAGCCAAGAGATTAGGGCCAGGGACCCGCCTAGCAGAGCCGTTGTCCCTGCATGCTTCACCAGCTGAGCTGATGAAGGGTCTCGCACAACTCCGCCCATGTTTTCGTGTGCCTTGCCGTAGGCAGCGAGGCCGGCACTAGCAGCCGCACCCACAGCAGCCACAATGCCTAACCTTTCCCAACGTTCCTTGTGCTCCCCTGCGTTTATGAAATTTTCATACTCTTTCCGCCCTGTAAAGGCCAAGGGCAAAATACACATAACACACTGGGGTAATTCTTAAAGCGGGATTAGTATATGGCGAGATGTGAGGTGACTCAAAAGGTTTTCTGAGATCATCTTGTGGCTACGGCACTAGCTGACCGAGACAAATGGAGGGAAGCTGAGTGAAAACAGTTCAAAAAAGCTACCGTGAACCACTGTGGGTGGAAAGATACGCAGAAGTAGAGCTGCTACTAAGCGTCAACATAAGCCTGTGGCGTCAGGAAACGTACATAAAGCTGTGTCTTCAAGCTCTTGGGGAGTGAATTCTCGAGCCTCCTCTTCCTGTTGCTTCCTAACTGCAAGACAGGAAGCGGGACAAGGGATGATGGTCAAGGTATAGGCGATACAAAAAAGGGGGAGGGAGGCGTGGGACGACTAAGGAAACCTCGAATATATGGCCCGACATACAGATCAAACCGGCGAGCATAAAAGAATGTAGGTATGCGGTGCAACCCCCAACAGAAATACTCTCAGTTAAACTGCCTGATAGAAGGTACATTGCCGACGATGGAAAGAATGCCCTGCTTCATATAGGTGCAGATAGCGCTAAGCTGCATAAGCAGAACCTTCGATACTCCATAGTGTTCGGGAGATATACCACAGCCTAATATTGACAGGAGAAGTGGGTTCCTCACGCAGTGCTTTCTTATAATCCTTGCTGTCTTGCAACAGGTTTTCGATTTCACGGGTTAGCTTTTCGAACCGTTCCTTTTCCTTCTGAAGCTCCTCGGCACTCTTGGCTTGGTCTCGTTTAGCGGCTGCCTCATCCTTCGCTGCTATTGTTGCTGCTAGTCGTGCTGACTCCACTGCATGGTGCCCCAATTCCAAGCCGACGAGGCAGAAGCATCCACAAAGAACAAGCCAAGTCCATAGCCTCACGTAGGAACCCATTTTTTGTACTAAGACATGCAAGGAGCCAGTGCTTACGCGCGCAATGCCGCTGGATCGAGTCAACGTAGCCAGCTACCGTTAAGATGCAAAGCAGAGAGCCGTGCTTGCAAGCTTGCAAGCCACGCTCCCAGCTATTTCGTAGCACTTCTACGAAGGAGATGACGGAAAATGAGTCTCTGAGCTCCTATGAAGCAAAAATACAGCTCTCGAGAGCCCCATTCAACGAGACGGCTCGATTTGGTGCCTGCAGCAGCCAGGGAGAGCGTGCTCGAGAGCCTTAGTGAAAACGATCGGGGAAAAATGACAGTACAATCTGAGATCGAAAATGTATTATGAAGGAGAAAGTGATAGAAGATAATGTTATTTAGATCAGAAGTGGATCATTATAGAGATACTAATCTTAATGTAGAAAATTTTCTAGTGGATCCTTAATGCATAGCTGAGGCCAGCCCTCACGACGGATGGCCCACCCACCAGGAGGCAGCAAAGCACTGCTCCTTGGGTGCATACGAGCTACTGGGCTTGGCTTTGCTGTGCTGTGCCAAGCTCTAGTACCCCACAAGAAGGTATTCATTATTTGTTCGAGGATTCTTTGCTGGGCCTTCTCCTTCTTGTAATTTTGGGGCATCTGAATCTATTTGACGGATTCCGCACGCCTGCAAGGGCACCTTTGACGCAGTGCCCCACTTCGAAGACCTTCGGCGTATCTTCCCTTGAAACCAACCACAATGGCAGTGAGCCTTTTCCCTTAGAAACGACGCTCTGCTTCTAATTGTGTTTCTTCGGTAGCATGTAGGCTGTGGAGTGTATCGATGGAAGCATTAATGCGAGTGCTATGGTAGTGTGGGGCACGCGGGGGCACTCGTACGATTTCACATGCAGTCCAAAGAGAGAATGGCCTGTCAAGCGATCCGACGAGTTCGCTGTTATCGTAGGCCACAGAGGACGAACGGTATCGCCAACTAGCTGCGGAGCACTGCTCTTATGAAGGTTCCTTTTTGGTCTGTGGGTTTTCGTCCGTTGTGGAAATTGTTTCAGAAAGGAAAAGTCGCACAACCCGTTGTAAGTGACGATTCGCTTTCAAGCGAAGAGGAAGTTCAGCCGCGGAAGGCCTTTACACCAAAGAAGGCAGCTGTACAAAGCAAGAAACCAGGACCGGGAGCCGTGGAGTCGTCGGATGACAGCTCCGATGAAGACCAGCCAAGTGCCGCCGTTGTGAAGAAAGCAGTGGCAGCGAAAACAGGAAGTGCGGGGAAAAACGGAACAACGAAAGGGCAGTCAAGAACGCAGGAATCGTCAGACTCGAGCTCTTCTGAAGAGGAAATTCGTAAGTTGTTGCATTGCGTCACTTTGGTTCATGGCCAGTATCTTTTGTGTCTATATTGGTTGCAGCTATCCATTGTTAGGAGATTGATGCTTCTGGGGGAGTGCAAATAGCAAAGTATTTTGCATTACACGTGTACTACACGAATAATGTTTATAGAAGTGCCGAGGTGGCTTCACGATATCTGAAGGGCACTTTGACGTGTTTGTTATGATCGTGCTCATGCTCTATTTGTATGGTCTACCTTCATTGACAGCCGGGGCCCATTATCCTGCTTTGATGATTAAGTTTTTGCTACTATTGACCCTTACGGGGCTGACATTTATCCACCAAGATCTCTGAGCACCAGCGGTTCTTTTTCTTGAAAATCAGTGGTTTGCGCGTTTCATTGTCAAGTGGAAGGCAAGCATGTGCAGACGGAATATTATGACTCTCAGTCGTTAATTCTGAATGCCGTTCAGCATGGATGTTCTCGAGTGCTTCGATTGCGTTGCTGGGAACATGTTTCGATTGTTGCTTCCCCCCCCCCCCCCCATGACTTTGCAAGGTAGCTGCGATATCATTTTGACATGCAGCAGCCATGAAGAAGAAGGTTGGGACAGCAGCGAAGCCTTCTACGCCAGTGAAGACACAATCAGCTATTAGAAAGGATTCGGACTCTGAATCTTCGGAAGATGATGTGCCTACGAAAAAGGTTGTTGCTCGAGCGAAGATAGCCCCTGCTCAGAAGAAACCCGTTCCTCAAGATTCGAGCTCGGATGAGTCTTCAGACGAGGATGAACCCTCCAGGAAGCCGACACCTAAGGCAAAGGCTGCTCCTGCTAAAAAGAAGCCTGTTGCTCAAGACTCTTCTTCTGAGGAGTCCTCAGAAGACGAGCCTCCCGCCAAGGTTTCAGCAAAAGCTAAAGCTACACTGGCGCAGAAAAAGCCTGTCAAGCCTGAAGAGTCTTCTGAGTCTGACGATGACTCTTCCGACGATGCACCTCCACCTAGAAAGGCTCTGCCTGGAGCTAAGCCGGCTCCCCAAAAAAGGCCAGCGCCTCAGGATTCGGACTCTGATGAATCCTCTTCCGAAGCGGAGACTTCACACAAAAAGCCAATGCTCAAGGCAAAGGCAGCACCGCAGAGGAAAGGGGTGGCTCAAGACTCGGATACTGACGACTCTTCAGACGACGGTCCCCCGGCGAAGAAGGCTACGGCTAAGGCAAAGGCCGCACCTGCTCAGAAGAAATGCGCGCCTCAGGACTCTGATTCTGACGACTCATTAAGGGATCTTCCATCAAAAAAACCAGTGCCGAAGGCAAAGGCGACTCCCCAGAAAAAAGCCTCCAAGCCACAGGACTCCGACTCCGACGAGTCGTCGGAAGACGAGCCCCCAGCTAAGAAGGTGGCGGCGAAAGATAAGGCAACACCTCAGAAAAAGGTCATGACTCAAAACTCCGATTCCGATGAGTCGTCCTCTGAAGAGGAGGTGCTGGCTAAGAAAAGTGCAGCGAAGACGAAGGCAGCACCAACGAAGAAGCCTGTTGAGGACTCGGACTCCGACGAGTCCTCTGAAGAGGAAAAGCCAGCCAAGAAGCCGACCCAGAAGGCAAAAGTGCAGGCAGCAGCAATGGATATCGATGCGCCAGCTACTAAACGCAAACAGGATAGCCAGCTCCAGCAAGGCCCTAAGAAGAAACTACAGCTTAGCGACCAGTCCTCAGCAGCTCGCATGCGATGCGAGGTTTTTTGTGGGGGCCTCCCGTTCTCCGTAACCGAGGTCAGTGTGGAGCCGAAGCTTAGGCATGTGTATGCGTATCATTGCGTCGACTTTAGCAGGTTCCAGCGGGTCGCGCATCGTTGCACCCTGGGCAGCACACTGCGTCAACCCTCCTATACACCTGCTATATCGAATGGAGTCTGTTTGACCCTTGCTAGCCTAATAATGTGTTGGTAGGGGATAGGAGGCTTCTAAAGCTTTTTGGCTGGAGGCGTTGGACAGCTCTTGCACTCTACTGTGTATTCTTGCTCTTCGCACTTCTGCAGTGCTCTAACGTTCGATGAAAAGTGCATGCTGTTACGGTTTGATTCATTGGTCGCAGGATCAACTGAAGGAGCTGTTCGAGGCAGATTGTGGCCCGACCACACGCATAAAAATTCTGGAGGATAGAGGCATTGCATTTATCACTTTTGAGACTGAAGAAGGCGCGGCAAAGGCAGTGGAGTTCAACCAGACAGAGTACGAGGGACGTAACCTTCGCATTAATCTCTCAGCAGACAGACAACAGCAGGGCGATCGGAACCGCAATGAAGGAGGAAAGGGTGCCGCCACCCCCAGGGATGACCGCCCTAAGGCAGAGCCTTCAAACCAAATCGTCTTGAGAAATCTGAGCTTTGACACCACAGAGGAGACTATCCGCGAGGCGTTTGGCGAATGTGGTAAGGTGGAAAGTACACACATAGGCCCAACCATGAAGTCGTTACGAGACCAATGAGCCAGAGTGACGTGGTGCTGTGTCAGCATTGTTTTGCCCCCTTTGGATGCCATACATGCTGTGTGTCAGGCTATGGCAGTTGTTTTGTCTGTATGTCTTCAGGTGATATACATGCAGTGCGCATCCCTGTGTTTGAGGACAGCGGCAAGCCGCGTGGCCAGGCCTTCTTAGAGTTCGATTCAGTGGATTCCGCCACAAAGGCGCTAGAGTACAACAACACAGAGCTTGACGGCAGGACGATTTGGGTTGCATATGCATTGCCAAGAGGAGCTGGCGGAGACCGGGGTGGCAGAGGTGGACGTGGGGGCAGGGGTGGTGGTGGTGGAAGAGGCGGAGGGCGTGGTAAGCAGCCCTTTTAATTAGCTCTACTCCATTGAACATCTCGTCGAGTTTTAACTCATTTACGCGACTTAGCTCTCCCGCATTGTGCCGACTAGAACATTGGTGGATGTTCAATCTTCTCCGTTTCTTTCCGTGGAGGACCGATTGGTTCGTTTTTGTATGCAATGTTGTACTAGGTGGCGGCCGTGGTGGATTTCGCGGACGGGGAGGCGGTCCGCCCTCTTCTGCCAAGGCGGCGAACGCTGGCAATGTGCAGGAATTTCAAGGCAGGAAGACCACCTTCGAGGACAGCGACTGATTTGGACAGAGAAATTGACTAACACACACACACACAGTCACCAGATACATGTCTAAAGATTGCGTGTACTTCCTATCGATGTGCACGTGCTGCTTCCTCGTTAGCCCATGGCAGGCGGATGCTTCAGTTACTTCATCAGCTGTCTTGGGTGTTTACTTCGCCCATTGTCAGGGCTGATGCAAGTGACCGTGCAGCCAAACCTGGAAATTAACGGCACGGTTTCTTTTCCCGGTGCGTATTGCCAGCAAGCTGGAAGGCGTGCTGTCTCTGGAAAAGCATTGGTTTTCCCAATAATCGTGAACTGGTTAGGGGCTTCGTAGTGGTCATGTGTGCCCTTTGCCCCTCCCTGCCGCAGGCAGGTTATTGTATATTGTATTTCCCCCCCCCGACACCTTCGCCTTGCCACCGGCATAGTGATTCTTCAGGCACATTGCAGATTTTGTAAGCAACGGATTCACTTATGCTGTGCCCTCTCACATGCCATATGCAATTCTTGCAGCAGTACGAGGGACTACTCTAGGGAAGTGCCTGGGCCTAAAGCTGCGACGAAAAATTTTGGGGTCTTCTGGTTAGCTTCCGCGCCTCTTTATAGATTGCGTCTTTCGGTGCAACAGAGCTAACACGCTTTTGCAAGTGGTAAAGCGATGAAGTAAATCACTTTGAAGGCCCCTAGGATCAGACTTCGGCTGAGTCCTTTGAGTTCCTTCGTGTAGGGAGTGGTGCGTGCACATGGTGGGGCACGGCTGTAAAAAAAGTGATTCGATAAAGCTGCATCCTTCCATACCTTCTAGGCATCATCGCTTAATAGCCCCCCATTTAGGAGGTAGCGAGTCAACGCTTGGTGCAGCAACGAGAACCCCTGTTCTAAGCATTGGCCTGCAGTACTCCTTGTGAAAAAGAATGGCGCTGACGAGAAGTATAAACAGATGAAGGAAGGCAAGCAACGCCACAAAGAGCCAAACAAACATGAATTGAGGCTTGAAGGTGCAGAAGAAGGCAGCTTCCGCAAGTGCTCTGCTTGTCTGAGTCATCGGGTATAAGGAGTAGTTGCAAACCACCTGGAGCGTGGTGAACTGGAACATCATGGCGAAGAAGGACACTGCATTTACGAAGAAGAATACGAAATTCAGCACCATATTAGTGCAGGAAAGAAGGTTGGAGCGTAGGTATGCCATCCATACAGTGAACGCGCCGCACGCCATATTGCCAAACGCAAGGATGAAGCCCCCCCATTTTAAGGAAGCAAAGAACAACCCCTGTTGAATTATCATGGGAGCCTGGAGACCCTCGTCGTCCCCTGTGTCGTCCATCACCTCTAGCATCATCTGGTTGCTTTGGCCGCCAAACATGACTGTGAAACAAAGCAGGAAACCTCCGAACATGAACTTTATCGATCCCAGTGCCAGGAGAGTTGCCCAGAGTCGCGAGTAACGTTGAAACTGCAGTAACGCGGTGCTGCAAGCGCACAGGAGGGCCACTGCAATGCATGCCTGCGACATTCCCGTCTGGCGGCACATGTTACTGGAGACAGCCTCAACGGTGAAGCTATCTGATCTCAAGGCGGCGTTCACATCAAAGCTCGAGGTGTTGCAGAACTGTTGCGTAAAGAAGGCGGGGGGAATGAAAACCCCCACACACGCACTAACCCACACAGCGCAGCAGGTGGTAACCCGCACTTCCTCGAGATATGCTTTCCGTGTACCCTTAAGAAGGGCTTGACACGTGTAGTAGCAGTTGCCCGCCATGGGCACCAGCACAAGCACCAACCCCGCAACCAGGGAGCCCGTGATAGCCTCGTATGCCACAATCCCGGCACCGAAGCTTGGAAGTGCCCGCAACAAAATAGGGAAGGCCATGATGCCCCCACCCCCCACACAGTTGGACATATCGACGCAAGATACTGCCCGTCCCATCTGCCCGAGCGTGGTAAGCACTACCACTAGCAGCGCCAGCGAGCTGCCGATCCTTAGGGCCAGCACACAGAGAAAGAACCGCCACAAGACCGAACCAGGAGCGAGCCAAAGACGGCCCCTAGATCCAATTACGTCTTCCCCCATAATACTTTGTTCGGTCCACTTCTCCGTTCTCCTCTTCAAAATCCCCTCGCATGGTTGACCCCCCGTCGATTGCCTGCCGGGAGGCACCGTTGAGACTGATACTCTGAAGCTGCCTTTAGCAGCCGGTACCGGGGACTGTCCGCTCACTGGGTTGCCCTCAGGAGCCGATAGAGAGGAAGATGAGGGATTCCACAGTTTTTTCTCTTGCCGCTGCTCCTGTTGCTTCACGGAACAGACGGAGTTCCTTGGCTCGAAGGCCTCCCTCCCGTAATGCGACGCTTTAGATGACGGAGCATACTCCGCGTCCAGCTGCGATGAGCTAGCATCGGGAGCCCATTCAAGCTGAGGCTGAGGGTCGCGTTGCAGGGAAGATGTTGCAGGATTCACTGGAAAGACAGTAAGCTCAGCACTGTGACCAACTGAGGCCGAATTAGCTGTCCTGGGAGTTAAGCCAGGGGGCGTACCTGCCTCTTCGCCTCGATCAGTAACGGCCTGCCATTCAGGTGGTTGAGAGGCCTGGCTAGGCACAAGAGCAGAAGGCTCCGAAGGAGTCAAATCAAACTCCTGACTGGTGCTGCTGGAATCGCTGGTTAAATCCCCACTCCGGGGAACGGCATCATCTGATATTTCAATAGAAAACGAGCTGCTCATCTTCTAGCCAAACATGCCGACCTACCAATATTGCTGCGTTTGCTATGGTTCGTGGTGCTGCCGGTGACAGTCTTTCTCGCTGGTTATGCGCGCCAACACTACACTGCCAACGGGCCGATGCACGATCTGCTTCACTTCCACGAAACAAGCACTAAAAGTGCTATCACTTTTCGTAAGGTCTCCCAAATCAGAGCCACTGATGTGTTTTCTTTGCTTAGACCTTCCATGGGAGACTCTCCTGCTCAGTCTTGGAATGCAGCGGTCGTCGTCTCATTCCAGCACCGATTGCCCGAGGACGCCGAGCTTTCAAGTAGGGCAGCTAGCGTTACGCCTGTCTTGGACGAAAAGATAATGGAGGAACGGGGGAGGGGACCGAGGGAAGCGCAAAGCCTGCCCGTTATGCAAGCGTCAAAAATGGCCTTTCCGTGGATCGCTCAACGCTTCGGGAGGAAGTATGCGGCTAGGATGCGGAGGCTGCCAGAAGAAAGACCCCATTACTGGGGGGCAAGCACGAAGGATTCAAAGAGGCGTAGTGAGTAACACTCCGGGTTTGCTATTGCTGCAAAGGTACCATGGGAGGGTTTGCCTGAATACGCAGTGCTGCTCTTCAGGCGTACCGCGATGCCTCAGGCGTCACATAGGATTTTGCTTGTAATATGAGTAGCAAAACCCTGTAAGAAATGTAAGCAGAAGGGCTAAAGAGGTCTCCATTCGCATGTGTCCAGTTTCATCGAGGGCTACCCCGAGCGTGCGGCGGGAAAATAAACAGGGTGGGCAGTCTTGCAGCTCAGTTCGTCGTCCAAATGCGCAAAAAGCCCGCAAAAGTAATGTGATGAGTGGATTCACATTTCCACAGAAGGCCGGAACAAAGAGTAGTAGGCAGTATAGTTCCGTCGCTCGACTCAAAGTAATGAAGCGCGGGACGCCCCCTGTTGCTGCGCGTCTAGGTGTGCTCATGGGCCCTTTCCGGCCTCATGATGCATCTTGATAGTAATACCTTTTTGGCATATTATTCCTGTCATTGAACCCTTAGCTCATACAGCCAGACAATTGACGCCGGTGCCCGCATCCAACAGCTTTGGGACAGTTTCTGGCAAGCTGCTTGCCGCCAAACTCATCAACATTTTAATACTTTTTATTAACAACAACACTGATGCGCTTTACTTATATCATAGCCCCTGTACGATCCTGGTGAGCTTCCTCTTGTTTCACTTATTCGCAACTTGTTCATACGAACATACCTTGGGTGAACAACGATGCAGCTCGCGTTCCGGTTTCAAGTGTGCACCGTGCCGCACTACGTGTGCAGCTTAGGGCTATTAGCATTGTGTACTGTGCAGTTTCACAGTACAGAGTAGCGGCATTGTATAGAATTGCTGCCAGTTTGTTTCCACTTACAAAGTAACGCGCCATATAAGGTCTCCGTAGGGAAGCAATTCGCCCCAGACTTAATACAACCTTCACAGAAAGCTGCCGAGATTATACCAAAAGAACTTCCTCCTTCCTCCAACTACTTCTCTCAGAGTTCCGACATAAGTGGGGAGGAACAGCTCGGTGGGCGTAGATGCACCCTTCAAGAGCACTGCGAGCATGAATTCACAGCTAGTTGTACCTAGTGCCTAGCGCACACGAACACGAATTTTGTGTATTCTTGTATCAGTCCAGCAGTACTTTGGTATAAATAATATTGCCAACAGTCAAACCAATGAATAATTTATCTATTAATTCTTAGTGAAGCTCATGAATTTAGCGTAGCCCACTCCACCACTACACTCGCATTTCGAAGGACATGCCCTTGTGTCCCAAACCTGTCAACAGAAAGCAACCGCGTACAGGACAGTAAATGACTTTTCGCCTATTCGCCACTCACTACGCAGGCAGATCGGCGAAAATAGTGCAGACGAGGAATCCACAGGCTGCATCATGCGGGAAAGAACTCAGCAGGGAGACAGACACGCCTATTAGCCAACAACAAACAAGGGACTAAACCAACACAGCAGCGTTGATGCACTCGACCACTGTCATTGGAGTGTTGAAATGTGCTATCTTCTGCCATGACAAGGCAGAAAACAAGTAAATGTGTGAAGGGAGTCAAAGGGCGATCTCGTTCCCCAGTGCCTTCGTACCTCATAAAGTAATGTTCGCTTGCACCTTCACCCAGTGCATGCAGCATGCTCCACTCCACGGCCTAAAAAAATATAAGAAAGAATATGGAGACAGCATATCGAAGAATTACTGGGTATAAATCGGACTATAGAGAACACCTTAGCAGTCTTGGCCGGGTGCGCTTTGAGCAATATATGTAGATGCAGATAGCTATTTCAGGCATATAGTGACTCAGAATTACAAGTGACGCAAGAAATGCCTTACATGGCGACTACCGCTGTGAATCAAACAGGCCCGCCATTTTTTTCCTGCAGGCTACGAACCCCTCAACCACTGAGGCTAGCATTCCCTACCGCACTTCACTAGAGAATGCCATCTTGTATTGCCTCGCGTTTGAGTCTAGAATCAAGCACTTCTGTGGCTTCCTCTGGATCCTCCTCCTCCACATGAGCCACTTGCAGGCGCAATAAAGTTCATGAATAACTTGGGGAGGTTGAAGCTTCTTTAGAAAGCTAATTTTGATAGTTCTGTAGCATCTCCAACTTTAGAGAAATAGACACAGTAAAAACGGGCATCGATTCTTAAGCGGATTGCGAGTAGCTGTGGCCTCCTGGCCAAAAACATCTTCGTGTGATTGCCTTCTGGTGCATCTCGCATCATCTGGCAGAGCTTGCCGATTTACGGGGACCAAACCTCGAGGCTTGAAACACACGGTCAACTGCTGCTTATCATAGTTCCGTGCTTGTGTCTTTCGAGCTGTGCGTATACATCCGCGTGCACTTACCCTCTGAACCCCTCTGCTGATACAGGTAGCTGCTGACCCCCGACCATTGGGTCCAGGTTTGAAATGGAGGGGGGCTCCTCAATGTTCACCAGGGATGCAAGGACAAAAAAAACAGACGAGTGCATTGCTGCACCATAAATCAGCTCGGAATAGGGAGGAATTTAGCTTAAACGATTGAATTTTTGTTAGCAAAGAGTCTCAAGTACTGCAAAAGAGTATGGTTGGTGCGCTGTGTGTGTCCACCTGCCTCCGGGTAGTTCTCAGTGGTCACAGTACGGTCAATGTGTCTACGAGTCGTACACGCACGTCAGACCGCATTATACGTTTAGTATTCCCATCCGTAATGATATTCCTAGGTAATCATTGAAGCTTCCAGTCATAAGCTGAAAATAACTGAGACACTCTGTGGGCTGTGTGAGAACGGAGTAAGGGCTAACATAGATATCGTTTATGAGTCTATAATTAACGGTTTGGGTGCTGTGCTAACCCGTGACCGCAATCCAGCGGCACGGTCGATATTCACATCAACCCAGAGTCTTGGAGAGACCGAAAGGATCAGCAAATGGTTCGGTTCAGGATTTCGGGGTTTCACATGCTGACAATTCGGGCACAGTAGTAAAACTCTCTTCTCTCGTGGGGGTATTCTAGGCCGCCAAAATAGATGCCAGGGCTTTCAACTGTGTAGTAAGTCGCAATATGGCCAAGTGAGCATAATAATGTGTTTTGGGGGGAAAGAAAACACCGAGAAAGTTAATCTGCACAAGCCATGGAGTGCCGCCTGTGTTCACTGCTTTAGTAGGCCATCCTCAGCGTGTTAACGCTTCCTCCTTTCGCCCTTCCGGATTTCGGGAAGCGGATACATGAGTGTTAAAAGTTAAAGGATCATACATTGAGACATGGGCGGTAGCGGTACATAATAGTGAAGCACTGGGCCGAAGCGACAGTCCATCGGCTACCGAGTTGGTGATGCTCTTAGCTCACTTTTGTGGGAAACCTCATGGAAGAGAAAATTCCAGAGCAGAAACATTTTCAAGCATTATTGAAGTTCGTACAGCTCTCCGAAAAAGGTCTGGACGCCTATCTGAATACTGCTGGCATCTAGTTACGCCCTAACAGCACCACGCAGAGCTTCTTCGCCCTCATCAGACACCAGTGCCTGCTACCGGTGAGGCGATGAGCATACCTAGCAACCCCTTTAATGTTTTGGAGAGGCCGTGGTTAGTCGACAGAGAATAGCATCCACCATAGCGTCACTAGCATCTGCTGTTACGAAGAATGAAGGCTCATTTTCAGGCAGCCTGAATACCTTCGTAGCTCAAAGGAGATCTATAGGAGCCTTTGCTGCAGCTTCAGCTTCCTCTGTCCAGGTCATAGGCTGCCCTTTCTGAGGTAGGTGAAGTGATGAGCAGCGATCCTAGCAAACCCAAAAACCAAGCATTGTTAGTAAGATGCAAGGCGAAAAATCGTTGTAAGTAATGGTACAGGCACAGCCTTAATTGCATCAAAATGTTGCTAAATTCAGCTGAGTCCCTCCAGACGAAAAGGGGAATGCAGGTATATCTGTTTTCGTGCAAAGCCAAAACTTGCCTATATTCACGCAGCGCCGCTTGCCCCGCAACAGGTGGAACGCACGCCATACGTGCAGTAGGTGCTCCTGAAAGCCGAAGGCTAAGACGTCATTCATGTACACAGCCGTCCACCTCTTCTTTGTTGCTTCGTTGAAAGCCGTATTGGGATGTCGCTGCACCTGCAGTGAAGCGTTAACTAACGCAAACGGCATACAGGTATACTCGAAATCGCGAGTCCAGGTGTGGAACGCCGTTTTGTGCTTGTCATTTAGGATGATCAATGATTTGTGTAAAAGCGTGCGTCAAGTCGAATGCTGAGTAAATTATTGCTTCGCAAATCGACTTGCCAAATAGGGTCTTCAGGAGCCCTGCTTCAGGGCTAGCTTGTTCAGGAATTCACAGCTAAGCTGACGCACGTTCCCATCTTCCTTCCTCTTTCTGCATCAACACTTATTTGTGCCCAAAGGCACTGGTCGGTCCGTCCACTTTGCTTTTCGACAGATCATTCAGGTGCCGCTTGATTTCCTCTTGAGGCTTTGGCC